TATAAAGTTAGCAAGGTTTTGTCAAGAAAATTGGCTCAAATAATTCTACTAAAAGTTGACATACTGTGCAATTAGGAATACAAGCCAACCAGAGCTTTTGCATATTTTTATGGAAGCAGGGCCATTTCTAAAAAGATCTGCCGCAGTCAACTGCAAAGATGTTCCTCTTCTCTCAGCTAACCAAACTTCCACTCTGCTCTTGTATTCAGGACTGTGTAGCTCACAAACACGCTACTTCCTAACACAGCTCACGCCCCTTTAAATGCAGTTACCCACATCAGATCTTACTCCCCTCCCCTGCCCCTTTTATTTCATTCATATTTCGCTGTTTTATTAACTGTTTAGAAATGAGGAGTTATCTATATGCAATTTATACATAAATACACACAACATTTATCAGCACACTTATTTCCACTGAAAGAGTTTATGATTTCAGTTAAAACCCTTTTTTTCCTTGTTAAAGCTTAAGGAGAAATGTTACAAAATACAGTGGTGCCCCGCAAGACGAATGCCTCGCAAGACGGAAAACCCGCTAGACGAAAGGGTTTTCCGTTTTGGAGGTGCTTCGCAAAACGAATTTCCTATGTGCTTGCTTCGCAAGACGAAAATGACTTGCGAGTTCCTGCGGGGTTTTTCCTTTCCCCCTTGTCCCCAGCCGCTAACCCGCGTATCGGCTGATGGCTAAGCCGCTTATCAGCTGATCTTTAAGCCGCTTAACAGCTGATGCTAAGCCGCTTATCAGCTGATCTTTAAGCCGCTTAACAGCTGATGCTAAGCCGCTTATCAGCTGATGCTAAGCCGCTTATCAGCTGATCGTTAAGCCACTTATCAGCTTATCGTTAAGCCGCTTATCAGCTGATCCACTAAGCCCACTAAGCTGCTAATACAGTACTGTAGCACTAATCCGCTAAACCAATGGGCTTGCTTCACAAGACGAAAAAACCCGCAAGACGAAGAGACTCGCGGAACGGATTCTTTTCGTCTTGCGAGGCACCACTGTACCATTCAACGGTTTCTTACCCCACCTGATTAAATGGATTATATATATATACAGAGAGAGAGAGAGAGACAGAGAGAGAGAGGAATTGTAGTATGTGGTGGAGATCTTTCTGGCAGCTCCTCATGATCTACTGTTTGTTATGCTTGGTTATAAGATTAGTACTGGAATATCATCATTAAAACACGATGTTTTAATTACTGCAAAAATACTGGTGTCAAGCCAACAATGTACGGAACCCACCTGCTCTGAAGCACTTGTTAGCTAAGATATTGTAAAACTACAGAAGTGGCAAAGATAAGTAGTTACATTTGAGAGAAAGTGAGGGGGGATAAGAAGATTGAAGCATTCCAAAGAGCGAAGTCACCCTGCAATTTTATGAGAAATTTGGATATTACTTGTATAGAACTTTTGTATTTCACTGATAGGCATCCCCCCGCTTACAAGTGATTTTCTCACGCACAACCATGTATATGCAAAACACCAGGAAATAATTCATTAATTCAATTCATACCTGGAAATGGCGGGAGTGATAAGAGTCCTCATGGTTTGCAAGGAGACCCACTCCGAAGCCCAAAGAAGATGTCAGTGAAGGCGGAGGAAGACCCAGAGACCGGAGGTGCAGCAGGGCTTTGTTTAGGCTGCTCAGCCTCCCCAACTATCAGCTGACACACGAGGTAGCGCAGCAGCCCTTTTACCGCACGCCCTCCAGCCTCCTGCCGGCCCCGGCAACAATATCTAGTTGTAGATATTTTTGGATACAGTATTTTGGAATGGATTGAAGAGAGAGTGGCAGACAGGGAGTTTAGAGGGCGCTCCCCACTTTACGTGATTTCACTTATGCACGCAGGGGGCCTGGAACATAACCCCCGTGTAAGTCACCTGTACTTTCATATTTGTTTCCATTAAAAACAACAACGTTTGTTCAGGATGAGAGCTAGTCTTAGTCCAGACCTCTCCAATGAGATCCCCTTCAGTCAGCTGGGTTCAAATTCCCACCAACCTAAGCCAGCATGGCAAACAGCCACAGGTGATGGGAATTGTAGTCCAAGAATAAATGGAGAGTGCCACTTTGGTAAATCCTGCCTTGGTCTAAAGTCTGTGGGAACTCTTAGAATCATAGAATTGTAGAGCTGGAAGGGATCCCGAGGATCATCTAGTCTAACCCCCTGCAGTGCAGAATTCTCAACTAAATAATATACCCAACCTCTGCTTAAAAACCTCCAAGGAAGGAGAGTCCACCACCTCTCACTGGAATATATGCCACTATTGAATGAGAATTTGTAGTAGTTCTGAAGGGCCCTTGAAGATTCCCAGGAAGAGTGTGGTACAAGACATTTAAGGAGAGAAAAACTTGGTTTGGCTATATCCTAAGCGATTTTCTTAGCAGAAAAACTGGATCCTTTCTGTCCAATTTAGAAGTTCTTTGCCAATGACTAGAAAGAAGGTATTTCGTTTATACACACTCCTCTAAAATTTAGTACAGCTAGAGGAACCCAGGAACTCCAGGATTAAGCAGAAATCTAGGTAAAATCCCCTTTACACTGAGAAATCACAAACATATAGTAGAAATTGGGGAACCTAGGAAGGCAAGGATGAAATAGGTTCAAGCTGGTAGGGGGGGAAACGGTTAACTGTGCCAAAACAAAGGAAGGCAAAGAAAATTTATTGGCATGTTTAGATAGTTCATTTAAGGTTTTATGAAGTAAGCTAAAATGAAGTAGTCAAGAGAATATGTGATTGTTAAACACTCTACAGCAAAGCTTCAGTTTATCTGAATTCAAAAACAGCTTGTTAATGTGAAGGTTGTTTCTCTTTTTAAGCCGACCTGTGTCATGTTCAAAACACAGCTCCTTGAAAGCATGAGTTGCCAAAAGAGAACGTGGTGATTGAGATAAGAGCATTGATATGAACTCTGGTATAAAACTTCTCTCTTTGCATCCAACCCTCTGGGAAACATCCTGTTCCCAATTTCTGGCTGCTAGAAATCTGGCCATTTCCGCCCCAAATTGGATTAGCATTCTAGATTTAACTGTGGCAGCCTTCCCTCATCTAGCATCCTCCATATGTTTTGGGACTACAACTCCCATCATCCCCACAAAGCACAACCATACAGACCACAGCTGATGGCAGCTATAGTACAAAACAACTGGAGGGTACCAGACCGGGGAAGAATGAACTACGGCTATGCTGTAAAGGGTCAAGTTTCCACTAAAGTCTGGTGATGAAACCACAATTCTTCTTAGGGAACCGAGAGATCGTTCTTCCTAACCAAAAACTTGGCTCCAATAGGTCTGCAGGCACTGAGAAAGTTTGTCACTCTTGTTACCTTGAAATCAGATTATATTTTCATCAAACCAATCGAAAGACCTAGTTGAGAGTGTCCAGCGACTTGTGTGTACCCAGATGTTATTTATTTATTTTTAAGAGCACACTACTATGCCATATCACAAACTGCTTTTGAAATTTTCCCATTTTTCAAAAAAAGAAAAGAAAGATGGTTTGCCAGTTTCATTCCCAAACAGGAAATTATGGGAGGTACTGCCTACTCAAAATTAATAAAATGTTAAAATGAAATGTGTCAAAAACCTTGAACATGTTTCCATCAGATAAGCAAGGTATCATGTGCAGAGACTTTATTTTGCACTCTTTAGCAGCAGAAAGAACAGCCACCCAGAAAGGCCCATCAAATTCTAGTACAGTCATGTGGTTTGAACATCTCTTGAGTCACTTAAATGGGGAGAACTCGTTTCGTAAGAAACAAATATAAGACTGCTGGGTTTGTTGAAAGTGTTTTTATTGGACTGATACGTCTGGGTTCTGGAAGTTAATTTTCTTATTTAATTTAACTATACAAGTGCCCTTTTTTGGGAGGGGGGGCATTTGCCATGTAGCACGATGGACCAGAATTCAAGAAACAAAGCTCCAAACCTCTTTTGTTCAAGTAACTATGCTTTGGCTCCAAAGAACTGTGAGCAGAAGGAAAATGCCCAATAGTGCTTGCAGTGTTACAGCAGGTAGGTCCAATAGCAGTTCTGAAATTAATGGCCCTAACTTAGTGATGTTCATTAATTTCAATGAGCCTACTCTGAGCAAGACTTGCACTGGATACATCCTAATGTATCTGGAAATTGTTTCACTTTCCTCACTAAACTGTTCTAGTGTGAGATACAGAACTGTCCTGCCACAAGCAGAAAGCACTTTTGGGTCTATGACTCTTATGAACTGCTTTTCTAACCATGTTTTTTTACACCTTCAGCAATATTCTTCCCATATAATTCAAACCTATGAACTCCAGAAAACCTACAGGGTCTCGTTCATACTCACCTCCCACAGACAGTCAACTCCTCTACTAGAATGAAGGGCTTTTTTGAACAAGAAACCCAAAACAATTAATAGTTTAGCAAGAGAGAGAGAGAAGGCAAATAGCACAATCCTCCCGCCACCCAGAAGAAAGCCAGCCGTTTCATGTTATTTCGAGAAAAATGAGAAAGGAAGTTCTCTTACCGATAACTCCAATGGTTACTGTCCCCGGCGAACCCCACCTAGCAAGTCGACATCGTGACATGTCAGGTCAGGGCAGCCTCAACCACGCTTCCCTGATAGTCAGGTAATAAAAGGAAGGAGTTAAAATAGAAGTTACGTTTGCAGATTTCTGGATAACATCAGAAAATGTAATGCAATACATTCCGAACTGTCATTCAGAGCTTCTGGTAACCGCCTTACAAGGTGTTAAAAATATATTTCTCCAGAAGAAAATTAAACAGAAACAAAAATAGTTTTTTGGCAGTTTCTAACCAATACCCAGATATACTTATCATGATATAACTTCATTGTGTAATGAAGATCAGAGGCATTAATAGCCCATTTCTACTGAGGGTTTTTCCCCCCTATTCCAACAGCTGCAAAAGTTAAACATGTGCACCTTGGTGAGCAAGTTTGTACTTTGTAGGATTTTGTTATCAAATTCATCAAGCAAAGCAGTTTTTATTTTAGCCCTAAGTTAACAGAAGCTCCCATTTTCAGAGAAATGGGAAATACAGCCCAGAGTTCTCATCTTATAAAGCCCACAGAACTTTAGTGGCTTCAAGCTTTCATTTTTAACCACAGAAAATCTATTTGTGCCCACTTTCAGTATTTCACGAAATACTCGTTCACACAAATATTTAAATCTAAACCAAAGGATTATGTGCAACGTTTGAAAAATCTGACTCATATATGAGGAGTTGCAAGAACCCAATTCATGCTTTGGCCAGGCAAAAAAAGCCCTACTGAAGTTCCAAGATTTGCTTGCATAAGGACTCCAAGAATCCCCTTGGACTCCTTTTATCAAAATATTTTCATACATTTCTTTGCTTTGCTCATAATAGCCTTATTACAAGCATGTTATTTAATGTTCAAAATGCAAATGAGTTCAAATAATGGCATACAAATGCAGACAAGGTGAAAATATAATCAGGCTTTGATAAATGATGGTCATTCATATAGCCGATTATTAAGCTTAATACCTCCAATACGTTTGGATTTTAACAGAAAAAAATGCTTTAAAACAGTTAAACAATTGAAGATTGATATCTTCAGCTAGAAAAAACAAACCTTACTGAAGGAACTGTAAGCCTAGAACAATTACTATACCTCTAGAAGTTTTAGACATTTTCCTTCATAAATGGGAATGGTTCTGTTAAGCGGGTAACTCTGAAGTATAATCTGGCTTGCAATGCAATGCTAGATCTATGTAATTAGGAATTTGTAGAAATCTTTTGATATAGGTTTCCGAAGTACCAAAACTCTGGCATCATTATTTTTTTCAAAGTCACCTTTGTATCAATAGAGACATTGAAGCAACTGCTATAAATGAGTGATCAAATATTGAATTCCATTTCATGATTCCATCCCCACCTTGAAGAACAAAGGATTGATATTCTTTTGTGACAGGGTTTTTGTCCCTCTGAATTGCTTTGCTGAATAAAAGGTCAAGGCACAGATGAAGCAAAATATATTTTGGAGTGCGTTTTTTATATTTTAATTTTTTTGTGAAGCAAAGTTTCTTAAAGCCATGAATGTCTAATTAGATTGTGTTCTGTATTTAATTTGAAACACAATTGTCCTCTTCATAGCGTATACATACCACTAGGATATCTGGACAATACTGCTGTCTTTAAAGATGGAATTTATAACAGATGTTTGCGGACAGGTAGGATGGCTAATTTTGTATGCAGAATTTGCTACTTGAAAGAACTTCCAGAATTTAGTTGCATTTTGGATATAAGAATTTTACAGACTTGGCGTTTGGGCAAGATTAACAAACACATCACAAGATTCCTCATTATGCACAAGCACATGTGTGTGTTACATTTCCAAATCTTTCTAGATTCTGACATAGACATTTTCACATCAATACAAAATTGCTTTTTACCTCTCTTGGCAGTCCTTGTGTATGCTCCATCATAAAGGATAACTTTAAAGCCCTTTAGGACATGGGCAAGTATTTTAAATTGGCTCAAATTTGGTTTCACCAAATAGTGTTAAGCTGTGGAGTTGATGGTCAAGCACTTGGATGAGTGTGTGTGTTTGTGATTTAGGTATTAGAAAGCCAGCCACTTCTACTAGACCTAAAAGCCAGATAAGCTTCACAAGACAAATCCTGCAGCTTTACGCAGACAAAACAAAGACATATTATATGACCAAGAGCTACAGGATTTTTTCTTTTATCAGAACCATGGTCAATTACTGTTACCATAGTACCCCAAATATCTGGCTGGACTGAAAAGCCATTTTTACAAGGTTTTCCTTCCTCAATGAGTCAAGAACTACAAACCCACGAAAATTATCTTCCTGACTCACAGCATACAAAATTGTAGGAAGAATGAACACTGTTCGCACAACAATGTAATTCTGTCAAACAGATGATACTATTGGAGGTTCAGACAAGCAGCTTGTTCTCTCCCAATGACTTGTTATTTTTCACTATGTTCTAATCAAAGGCAAACTCATAAATTAGGGGCTAATTATTTATTATGGATGTTCAAGTTGGCCAATCTGATCTGTAAATTTAAGACCTTTGAATTTATTTCCTAGAATGCAAATGTACTTCACTGCAGTTTAGCACAGTGCAAAAGATGCAAACAGGTAAAACATCATAAATTGAGAGTCAAATGAATATTAAAAATATGGCAAAAATAGTTTGTACAAAAAGTTCTTTAGACTCTGAAGATATCTCAAATCAATGGAAATTTGAGCTTTAAATCATTCATTCAGAAGGGTGTAAAATCTAATATTATAATCAAATTAGCAATTCTGTTATCTAGAGCATAAAATATTTATTTACATTTTCACTGTACTTTGTAAGAATTTACAACCATTCTCATATCTTTGTTCAAAGCAAACAAAAACAACATTAAAATTGAGCACATAATTGTCTGTTTTTATGTTTGCACACTATCAAATTGAGTTGAAGTCATTAGATGTTATCCATATTAGTAACATAAAAACAGGATAGGTTTATTGACTGCCTTCCTACATGAAACTTCTCAAATATCCAGACAGTGGGACTTAAAATCATATGACTAAAAACAATTTGCACAAATTTACAAATGTACCTGAAGCTGTTAAGAAAGCAACCAATTGAAAGTTAAATGCAACTAGATTAGATTAACAATTATGAAATTTCAATTTGATGCTATGATTAGACCTAGCTCTGACTCATATGCCACAAGTGCCAGATGTTGGAAATTGCAAGAAATTTGCATGAATTTGATCACTCACATAGGCAGTTTTTTTATATCTAAAAAAGATGTTTCTTGCAAGAATTACCAATAAAATGTTTTAGGACACAATTGAATTTGAAATAGGTAATGTTTTGAATAGATTTTTGAGTTTTATTGAAATCTTACATGAACAAGAAGAAATTGGAAATACAATCACATCAAGGAACAAATTGCCACGGATTTGACGTTTAGGCCAAACAAATTTTGTAGGGCAGATTTTCAAAAAGGTGTGAAGTTATAACAATTTAAAAACACAGTTAACCTACTTCTAGGAATGCAAAACATACAGTCATGTTATTTTCAATACAAGAAAACTTAATTTTGTTTTAATTTCTTAAAACTACGGAGACAAAGTACTAGCTTTACTTTATGTACAGCATATGCCTATGTAGTCTATTCCAAATCCAAAAAAGAAAAAGGAAAAAATGAAACTGTCCAAAAACAGAAGGTCTGCAAAATCATGATTTAACAGTGTCGCCCATCCTGCTGATAAACTGCTAAAATGAAGCCTAAAACGATAAAAAGCACTGTCTCCCAAAACTGTGTTTGGGAATTCTGCAAGCTCAGTAATGTCCAAGTGCATTTATGAGAAAAGAAAAAAATAATAAAAGACTTGAGTATATACACAATCGAGTGATTCTTCAGCCCAATACAAATGGCAGCCAATCACTACGGAAGGATGAAACATTAATTTTTGGAAGGATGTAGAGCTATAGCCAAATTCTATCTTTCCAATATTCCCACGCCCTCCTTATTTGTCTTACTTCCACTGTTGCCCATACGTATCCTGATAAAATTCCTGGTTGTCATTATTGTAACCATAGTTACCGGCATAGTCACCACCTTGCTGAAGCGGCTGCTGAGCGATGGGTTGGGAGCCCCAGTTCTGCTGGTTGTTGGTCTGGCGGCGCTTGGAATCCGGTTGGTTGTACCCATCAGCCTTTCTCTTGCCTCCCACGTTGCCCCCACGGTTGCCCCTGGCTCCACGAGCACCACGTCCTCTCTGCTGCTGGGCAGGACCCCCTCTCCCACCCCTGGCTCCTCTTGGTGGTCCCATTGGTGCCCCCCTCTGGGAATAGCCAGCTCTACCTCTTGGTGGTGGTGCTCCCCGCCCCCTAGGTGGTGGAGGTGCGCCTCGCCCACCCCTTCCTCCTCCTCTTCCTCTTATAGCATAGCCATCATCATAGCCGTAGTAAGGATCTTCATAGCCACCACGGTAGTCATGATAGTCATAGCCATAGTAATCATCATAATAATCTTCATAGCCATAGTAATCTGGGGGATAGCCATAGCCGCCTCTCCCTCCACGCCCTCGGCCTCTAATTGGAGGTGGCATACGAGGTGGAGGATAGTAATAATAATCTTCGTACCTAGTGAGCAGGAAAAAAGCATTAGCATTAGTTCATGCTGCTTTCTCAATTTAAAAGTTCAAGCGGAGTTCAGCATGCCAGATTAAAGTAGATTTTTACTATGTTGCTATCAGACAGAAACTCCCGTCTTTGAACTACAGTACAGTTAATGAAGTTAACACTCACGCAGTACTTCTGGAGGCTTGTCTGGCAGCCTGGCGTTCTTTCCTTTTCTTATCTGGAGGCTTAGCTAATACTATTTCAATTTCTTCCCCCTCTATCTCTTTTCCATTCATTTCGTTCATGGCCTGTTTGGAAGGGGAAAGAAGTTTAAATTCCATTCTACAGAGAAGAATCCTTCAGGATTTCCCACCTTTCCACTCTTCTCTAAGTTCTGATATTCTCATGTCCATAGTAATTCTATTTCAACACAATGAATATTTACATACTGAATGTTTTATGAAGTGAATCACTTTAAATTTGCCTGGGACAAGAACAGAACACCTGTGTGTCTACTCTGGTGTAGGAGAGACTTCTGTAACAATGAAGAGCTACTACTAGCTCTTTGTTTTAAAACAGGGCATTGGACTGAAGGCTGAATACCCTTTCTGGAAGGAAGAAAAGACAGTCTCCATTTGTGTTTCACAGTGAGAAACACTTTTTCTTGCTTGAGCTGCTTTTAAAGAAGGAGAAGTCTGGAAAGCAAATACAGTGGTACCTTGGTTCTCTAACGCCTTGGAACCCAAACACTGCAAACCCGGAAGTACCGTATTTTTCGCTCTATAAGACGCACCAGACCATGAGACGCACCTAGTTTTTGGAAGAGGAAAACAAGAAAAAAAATATTCTGAATCTCAGAATCCAGAACAATAGGGATTGCTGTGCAGCGAAAGCAGCGATCCCTCTTGCTGTTCTGGCTTCTGGGATAGCTGTGCAGCCTGCATTCGCTCCATAAGATGCACACACATTTCCTCTTACTTTTTAGGAGGGAAAAAGTGAGTCTTATAGAGCAAAAAATACGGTAAGTGTTCTGGTTTGCGAACTTATTTCAGAAGCCGAACATGCTCCATTTTGAGTGCCACGCTTCCGTTTTGAGCGTTACGCTGAGGTCTGTCTGTTTTTGCTCTTTATTTTACATTTTTGTTTTTGTGGCTCTTTGTTTTTGTGACTGTGTGGAACCCAGTTCAGCTACTGATTGATTGTGTGACTGCAATACATTGTTTATTGCTTTCATTTTATGGATCAATGGTCTCGTTATATAGTAAAACTCATGTTAAATTGATGTTTTAGGGGTTGTTTTTAAAAGTCTGGAACAGATTAATCCATTTTGCATTACTTTCTATGAGAAAGCACACCTTGGTTTTGGAACAGACTTCCAGAACGGATTAAGTTTGAGAACCAAGGTACCACCGAAGATGAAGCAGGACGAAAAGATTGGGGGTCTTTAGTGGGAGGGGAGAGAACTTTTTTAATACAGGGCAGCATACGCTGTTTAACATATGCAATGTGAACAATGCACTGGTAAAACCTTTCCAACGTACGGGGGGGGGGGTGAGGGAGAGCAAGAAGATTTAAATGGAAAGTATCAGACTAGATGAACCAATTACAATATTCAGCATTTATAGAGCATTTTTAGGGGCTTCAAAGCATATACGTTGGATGGCATCCAATCCCATGCTTGTACTCCTCCTGCCAGTATGCCCTGAAAAACATCTCCTGAAGTTAGGAAAGAGTCTCAAGAAAGGCATGAGATGTGAGGTACAGGCTGTAGCGGGAGGGAGAAGTCAGGTAGAAGCTGACTGCAAAAGATGACTGCAACTACCATTTTGCTGCATAACGTAGGTCTGTATGCATCACCACGACATCAAATGAAGAGTTTTCCTTTGCCCATGCAGTCTGAAACAGGGAAAGGAACAGCAAACTCCAGTTTTGGCTGGGAGCTTTGTTTTCATCTACAGTGCACTTAATGTTATATATGTTCTCATGTGCTGGGCAGGTGGGCGTGGCTTGGGGGAAACGACCTCACAGGCTGAAAGAGGATCCTTGCCAGGCATAATCAGGGACTGTTCCCCACCCACTGGCCTAGATAATGAAATTGTGCATACCTACCTTGACCGCTGCCCCCCTATCTTCAAAATGAACAAAAGCATAGTCTTTTAATTTCTTCACTCTTTCCAGCTTTCCAAATTCTGAAAAGGATTTCTCCAGTATTTCTTCCGTCACTGTAGTGGCCAAGTTTCTCACAAATAAAACTTTCACCTGTTAAAAAAGGGGGTGGGATTTTGACATCAGCTTCAGAAATCCAGTAACTCTTACAATACATGCTTGCTCAGATGCAAGAGTGCACTAAATAACCATCCAGGAAAAGATGGCTTTATCTCTGTATCACAAGAGGCGTTAATTTTATCACTAAAACTGAAACAGCAACTAACAACATGGACCACTGACAGCATGTTTCAGTGTTGGCTTCTGAATTAGGCCCCCATCAACTTTTATTTTCAAGATTTCATTTAAGAGATACAGGCACAATTCCATGTTGCTTATTTTTTGTAAGATTCCCAGGGAACGGATGACATTGACCAGCATCAGTACATTAACCCTACTGCCAGGTGGAGGAAAAGCATGGATGTACCTGGAATTGTATACTTCAGTAATTCTTACACCCCAGGGAGGGGGAAAGGCAAAGTATCATCGCAGACATGGCCACCCTACTGTAATGGCAAACTACTTTTGGCTCAAAGGGCTGCGTGTTCATTCTTGGCCAAACCCTCTGGGGTGTCCAGGTCAGTGATGGGCGTTGTCCCCCACACCTCAGTTGATGCACGCCAATCAGCTTAGGGGGATGTGTTATTGGCCCCTCCAGGCTCATCAAATGATTGATCCGATGACTGGGGAGAAGGCAATTCGTATCCCCATCAGGGTGCTGGGGTCCACCCACCCAAGCATAGTGTCTTTTTTATTTCCTTTTTCTTGCCCCCCCCCCAATTTGTGAGATCTTGGGGGATGGGATCTGTGTCCCAATCTGGAGTTAGTCACTTCAGCAGTACAGCCTTTGCTCTATTACCTTTGCCATGACTTCTGGATCTGGTTCCTCTACAGGGTCAGCCCATTCCACAGTAACGACGTTTCCCCAGACTTTTACTTTCCCACTCATCAGCCGACGCCGAGCTTGAGCAGCTGATTTGTGATCCTCGTATTCCAGGAAGCAGAATCCCCGATTCTTCTTTTTATCATCAGGTTGGTGATACAAGATTACATCCACTAAACCCTCTGTAAGAACAAGACACCTGGATGTAACACAGAAGCCTATTTCTGGCTTGAAATGCGAACTGGAATGCAGAAGCTTCAGCATAAGCAGATCAAGTCTTCAGCACACTCAAATGAGGCAGTGCCAGAATACACACACAATTAAGTTCTCCCTTCTCTAGGCACTGGCTCCATCGACTTTTGAACATAAACTTTCTTCTAGCATGAGGAGATGGTAGAAGTAATGTTTCTTTGCCCAGCACTCAAAATCTGATCCAGGGCTGCCATTTCTCTTCTTTTATATGGCCTCCCAGGTTGCAAGGTCTGCACCAATGACCATAAAGATGACACCATCTACCAAATCTAATGCCATCTGGGCGGAGGGAGATTCCTCCAATGAAATGGCAGCGCTCCAAATAGTCAGGGCCGTCTTACCCATAGGCGCTAGGGGTGTGGGGCACCCAGGCTCTCAGGGGCGCCAGGCCGAGAGTCTGGGGCCCAAGAGTTGAGTCCGGGGAAGAGCCCGCCCGTCGGTCAGAGTGCCACAGCTGGCTCTTCTGCTGCAGGTGGCTCTGCACCGCGAGTTCGGGGGGCGACCGAGCCAGTGAGACGCTGAGGTGGCCGGCTGGCTCCGCCCTCCTGCACACCTGGGACTGGGCAACCTGGGGGGTGGGAGTGCCAGGCAGATCTTTGCATCCCGGCATCGCATATGCTTAAGACAGCCCTGCAAATGGTACTGACATTCTCATTTTGCTGCCACTGGGAGACTCATTTTTACCATAGATGACCTCAACATGCATTCAAGGGATCACCAGTCCTGACTGGATTTGAACTTGGATGTTCAATATTGTACACCCCACTCTTTGCACACTCTCACCCCTCCTTTGCTTCCCCACCTTATCAAAACCACTTCTGGCCATTACAGGAAGGCAAAGAAGCACCTGGTACAGCACATCACTTCCTCTAAAAGTGGGAAAGCACTGGCACCCAAATGTATAGATTCTCCCCTTGCCACCTTCTCCCTTCCCAGTTATTTTAAGCCAATGGAAGCGGAAAGGAGGGGGGAAGCAAACTTGTTTTAAATAAGTACCAGTGGTCCTAGGGTTAAGAGAGAGAAGCAAGACCAGCCTGCAACCCTCTCAAAGACCTCAATTTTCATTAGACTTCAAACACCCTGAAATTCCCAAGTCCAAATGAGTGCCTGCGACTCCTACAAAATGTCTGCTGGAAGTTCAAGTAAAATGCAATTTAACTGCACAGCCACTTCAAGCTGGATACCATTCAGGCCCTATGAAAAGGAACTGGGTGGTGTTTCATAGGTTAATATTGTTTGGTGTGTGCATTTTAAGTGGTGCCTTAGAAGGGTTTATATTCTGAAAGATAGAGGATATAACTGTACTAAATAAATTCAGAGTCTTAACAGGCATGTTTATTATCAACACTAGTCTGCTTGTTTCATGAGTGAAATGTTAATGCCTTACAACACATCATATGCTCAACTCCTTACCTGTAACTTTGCTGAACTCTTCTAGTATGTTTTCCTTGGTCTTGTTTTTTGGAATTGATCCAACGAACAGCCTGTTGTTTGCCACAGAGATGCATACGCCAAGGTGTTTACCAGGACGGATTTCATAGTTGTCACACTGAAAAGAACGTTAAGCTGAACACTCATCTTAAAGTTCCAATTTAATGGTACACAGATCAACAAACTCTCCACCTGCTCCAGTGGGGAAGATCTCAAAATAAAATGCTATCTACTACAAAAAAAGCTTCATACCTGCATCCCACTTTGGAAAGATTTAAGGTTTCCAGTAATCTAGCTCATTTCCCAATAATAGGCGTTTGCCAGCTCAAAATACACTGTCTAAGGAGACTTCTCAGGTTTAGAATGCTAAATCCAGCCTCACAAACTTCAGGCTAGATGTCTGAGAAGCTCACATGAACAAATCTCCTGTTTCATCCCAGTACCTGGTACTCAGGGGTACACTGATTCTGAACATGGAGGTTAGATTCTTAGCTATCATGGTCATTGTTATTCATAAATGTCTCTATTAAAGAACTGTGTACGTTAGTACAATTCACTGTAATGTAGCTCTGAAGGCTATCTTCAAAAGAAAGATGCTCCATTCCTAAGCACATCATCTACTGTTACTTCACTATCGATAAAACATCCTTTTTCAGATCAAGCAGCCTGGACTCGGGAGATTTTTATGACAGTGAACACCCCAGAACTTATATAAAGTCATCACTATTATCCATTTCCCAAGTGTGAATTTTCCTTTATCGCTGCTGGCACACACTAACATTTTCAGTAAGCTTTCTCCTTAAGAAGGGTTTTTTTAGGCTGTTACCAACAATTTACAATCCATTAGTGTATCAGCGAAGTTAGTATTCCCATTTACCCACTCAGTACATCACTCAAGATGCTCTTACATAGCATTTCAGCTTCTGCTCTGTTTGAAGAGAGCTTTTTATGGAACAATCCAATTGGTACTTACTTGAGAGTAGGTCCTACTGAGAGTAAGTCCTACTGAACTCAAAGGAACTTACTTCTGAGTAGACTAGTTTAGGATTGTGTTAGTGCCCGATTGGTAAAATCCTAATTTGCTATTATCTGCACACTTAGCTAACTCACCAATTAACTGTGCCTCCAGTTAATTTATGAAAGATAAATACCATCAATTACAGATCCTTGGGGACCCTTCTCTGTACTTGGAAAACTTCTCTGTACTCAGAAAACTATCAGTTAATTTTCCCTTGCCCCTTTTTAGCCAGTTTTATCCATCATTTTGTCCCTTGTCTATCAAACTTTAGGAGCTTCAGTGAGGAACCAACCATCCTTACCTACAACTGCAAATAATTCAAAAAATGTTAACCAAGCCTTTGCAGATGCCTTGCTATTTCATGTTTTCAACTAAAATTTACCTGGGCTGAAAAACAGCTATCAAGGAGGTCTCAATAATAACTGTGTCCAAGGTCCAAAAGGAGAACTCAAGTCAGATTCATCCTGCAATTTTCCTTATTAACATCAGATGGCATGGTTAAATTGAGAAGTGCCTTAAGTAGCAGCAATTAATGACTAGTTGTTTATAACTAGCTAACTGCTAATTTATAGCTCATGACTGAGTGATCTAGAATACTATGGGAGCCCACCTGCAAAGAAAGTATCTATGAGTTACAGTTTGTGACCACAGCGAAGTCATTCCATCCTCCAAGATATATAGCATAGCATAGTAATTACCAATTTGACTGCTTCTTGTGCTGCATCTTTACTACAGAAAGTGATGAAAGCGTAGCCTCTGTTCTGGCCAGAGAGGGGATCCATCATGAGCCGCAGGTCCCAAATTGGGCCTGCCTTCTCGAATAGTGGTACCAATTCATCTTCATACAAATCCCTAGGAATTTTACCAACAAAAACCTGGTGAGGAAAAGAAAAAAAATATTTTGTTTGTTTGTTAGTAAATGACATTTAAAAAAATAATTCAATTAAGAAAAACGCAATAGATTTGTGTGAGGTGATATTTCAAAATGGTTGATCTTCCTTTACAAACACTCAGAACAGAGAAGCTCCCGCTCTAAGCACATGGGCCACTACCTAGAGCTACTTTAGGAATACCCTTTCTTTAATCACTGCACACAACACAAATACTGGCTCAGTTCAGATGTAACAGGGAACAATGGTTTCCCACTACACAACCTTGGGCTTATGCACTTCCCCTCCTTCCCACCCAAAAGGACAGCAAAAGCTTCTGTTTTCAATTTTAAACTAGCCGCAGTTCCCTGTGATGGCGAATTTGTGGAACTCTGGTCATTTAACCCAGCGGTGGGAACCATTTTCAGTCAGAGGGTCACATTCCTTTCTGAGCAACCTTTTCAAGTGGGTGAGGCCAGGAGCCAATAGGGGCAGCCCAACTGATGGGACTCTTACCTTCACAATAGACTACATTCCAGTCAGGTAAAAGTCAGAGGTTTCTACACACACATTTCTCCATTCCCATCCAGGGAAACAAGAGGAATTATCATAGTTCAAGGACTCATTCCAGCTAGGCAAAAACACTTGGGAGGGCATGGAACACGGTCAGGGAGAGGTGTGGCCTGGGGAGAGTCCTATGGGCTGGAAAAAGAGAGGCAAATGACCGCATTTGTTCCCCACCTGCTTTGTGAACAAATCAGGATTTGAAACCTAATTTGATCCTGACTTGCTGTCACTAACCCTAGTTTAAACAAACCATAGTTCCAAGTTGGGCTGTCACGGGGCACCAAGGCTAGTTTAAAAATGAAAGCAGAAGTTTCAATCTCCTATTTGCAGGGGGGTGCGATGAAGAGTATGTGAGCTCATCGCTTACCGTAGCTCAAAGCTGCAGTGAGTAAACCACTGTTTTCTATTACACCTGGAGGGCCACAAGTTAGCCAAATGAACAACAGCTCTGAATATTACTGCAGTTAAAAGACAGGCTTTCAAAGTGTTTCCTGTCAAAATTTGGTTGGAAAACTCAGCTTAACAATTATTTTCATTATAGCTAAAACTAAATAATTAGTTTTTAAGTCTTATTAGATGAAATAGGCAACCATTGTTAGGTAAGGACAATCTTTATGTATCTGCAATTTATGTGCAGCAGTATGTACATACAAACCTCTGTGCCGATGCCAGGCTGGGATCCTGAGTAGACCGTATCTGGAGGGGGGCCACCATACTTCCGCTGGCCTGTAGTCACGTCCAAAGTATAACCAGTCCTCTCTAGCAAAGCCTGAATAAAGGATGAAGAATTAGAAGTAGATGTTTTCATCGCACAAGTGGCATTCAACAACACATTCTTTACCAAGACAGAAAAACAAACCAGAAAGAGCCCCATCCACAGAACCTCTTGCATATTCTATCTATCTATCTATGTATGTATCTATCCTATACACCACCCTATACCCCGAGGTCTCAGGGCAGTTCACAACAAGACCACAACATATAAAATCAAACCAAAAGCAGTAACCCAATAACCCCCCACAAAAAGGCCACATTCTAAAAGGGTGTTGGATGTCAATAAGATCAACCAAAGAAGAGTCTGGATTTGATATCCTTGCTTTATCACTACCTGAAGGAGACTCAAAGTGGCTAACAATCTTTTCCCTTCTTCCCCCACAACAAACACTCTGTGAGGTGAGTGAGGCTGAGAGACTTCAGAGAAGTGTGACTAGCCCAAGGTCACCCAACAACTGCATGTGGAGGAGCAGGGAAGCGAACCCGGTTCACCAGATTACAAGTCTACTGCTCTTAACCACTACACCATGCTGGCTCTCAGGCCTGGTTAAAAAGGAACATTTTTGCCTGACACCTAAAGGTGTATAATGAAGGCGCCAGGCGATCTTCCCTGGGGAGAGCATTCCATAGACGGGGAACCACTGCAGAGAAGGACCATTCTTGTGTCGCCACACGAACAACTCAGTGCTGCACCCAGCTAAATGAAGTGCTCTTCCTCTTGCTGCTTATTGGGACCACAGACTAGGCGTTGTATCCAACTAAGTACTACTCAGAGTAGGCTTACTGAAATTAATGGCTAGGGCTGGGTAATACCTGCTTGCCATCGTCGTAATACACCGACAGCTAAACATTGTGATATGGTGGTATATTACGATGTTGGAAAGAAGGCGGGGAGGAGGAAGGCAGTTGCCTGCCACAGAGACAATTAGTGTCACTGTGCACAGCTTCTGCCTCTTCCAAAACCGCAGCCACCTCTTCCAGTGCACGGCGCATGGAGGAAGGAACCCAACCATGCAAGGAACAGGGCGAAGTCGCCTCCTCCTCCAGCTCCCACCCATTCTAAGGCAACTGAGGAAGGCTCACAAATGCTCCGTCCGTGCGCCTGCATCAGCCGCTGCCGCCTTTGCATGGACGGGTGGGGGAGGGCTGCCTCTTTCTCCCAGGAGAAAGAGGTAGCTTGCACATGCTAAAGTGATTGAGGAAAGAAGCGGCCATCGAGTCCCTGTCAGGGAAAATGGTGGGGTATAAATTAATAAATATATAATAATTATAATAATGGAGGCACGTTTCTCTCCTATATATAGATAGGGCTCTTTTGCTATTAAGCATTTGCAACAGTCATGATTTTAACTATTTAATGTCATACAAGCCTTCCCCCCTCAATACGATTCTTTCCTCCAGTACAAGTCCTTAAAGCAACATCAGAACAATGCAATTAATTACTTAAATACAGAAATATCTACATAGAAGTTCAGCAGAACCTTTATCTGTTCCCCTGTACACTCAGCATATGTATACATTACCTTAATCTTTGCTTCATCTGGCCCCTTTGTTGATTCTTGTACTTTGCTTCCTTGTTTCTCTCTCTGTCTGTAAGTCTTCATAACTCCACATAAAAATGCACTTTTGTTCTGCAGATACAATTTATGACATCATTCAAGAGGAAGGCATAAAAAGAAACCTGAAGCCATTGAACCTTGCATAACACTCAACTGCTGCAACTTTTGACAGAACTAAGTAGAGTGCTTTTAAAAAAAAATCACTTTGTACAATTTATTTAACACAAACAACCACTCCATTGAACACCACATCAGGCCAAGGACTCTGAATATGAGAGTCTTTTTACACGCATGCAACTCTAGACTTTAACAGTGCAGCCCTATACATGTCTACTCAGCAGTAAGCCCCACAGAGTTGAATGGGATTTCCTTCCAACTAAGGAAACATAGGATTCCAGCCTAAATGCAGTGTTTGAGGGGTAAGGTTGTCAAAAAGACACAGTGCAGAAGAGTTCAGAAAAAAGTATGACAACCTTTGTTGGAGCTTGTTATAGTCATGTTAGAAAGAATGCTATATTTGTGAACCTATTTCTTCACACCACAGGAGCTCTTACCTTACCTGTACATGCGACAGGTCACTTTCCTTAAACTGCTGTAATACAGAGAGGGCTCCTTCTTCGTTAAATTCTCTAAGAGCATCTATTGCTCTCTCATCAAGATCAACATAAGCTACCAATCCTAAAAAATTAAAAATAGAAAAAAGTTACAGATTCCCATTTAATTATACAGAGGCAATTTCATTCAAAAACACTATTTTATTTTGCTAAATTTGAAGTAATTTGAGCTCAGTACATCAAGGTAACTACGGCAAACTAAAAAGTTATATCCAGAAACAAAATTGTTTGAGGAACTGTGTGGATATTCTGCTGCGCAAAGCAACACTACATATCAGGGTTTGAAACAATGAACTCTGGCTCACATTCCCTTTTAGGATATTTCTTTAAGATGGAGCCATTACAAACGATGCATAAACACTACATAATCTAACAACAGTTGTGCTACAGCAGCTATTCGAGCAACCTATAAAACCAACTTCTCCCCTTCAAAAACAACTAAAGTGAAAAATTATCCCCATTTCTATAAAAAGGAGATTACAATGAATGTTTTTTACTACAGATAAATACCATTTTGCCACAACTTTCCAGCCAGTGACATTATTTCAAGCCCTGTTATGTACATCAAGTACACTAATATTAAGCTTACAGGTGCAGACCCACATACAGTAGGACCAGTTCTGAAGCATAAAGTACTTTCTTTTACATTAAAGTTAATAGAAGTTTATGAAAAATGTAGACAATTTCTAATTCCATCAGTATTAAATGGTAAGGTGCTGAGATATTTGTACCAACTTCCAATAACTATCCAGAGTGTTTTGAATACTTCAGGATTTTAAAGAGCACTGAAAACATCTTTATTCTCTATCACACAGAATAGCAGTGCACAAAGACTGCATTTCAGAATTGATCCTGCATTTTGGAAGGCATATTTTGTACTGGGACAAAACTCAGCAGAGGTTTTAAAAATAATGAAGTTCAGCCCCAAGTTTAATTATAAAATTAGTTGTAGCGAACACTACTAACGGACACCAGTGGGGCAGGTTTAACCATGAAGATAGTTGTACAAATATTGTTGAATACTAGGTAGTAAAATGTTTTAACAAGTTTAGATAAATGTCAAACTCCTCATGACACAACCTCAGTTGCAACACATTCTAAAATCCTGTACATGCATTTCTCAGACACCTACACTCAAGCCACTAAGTGTACATCATCATATAGCACCGCCTTAGAGAAGTGTCTCTCTAAGGAAATAAAAGCTATCTGGCAGGCACTCATTGGGATTGTCATTCAAGACAGATCAGCCACATGAGTCAAAATATCAACATAAAGAAGACAGATATGGTATTGTTTTGAACTGCCTTAAACTTACATAACTTTTGGAGTATTTTAGGGAAAAAAGATAAAGCAGATCTTGCCACTCAAATATTTGAGATAAGGGCATGAAGCAGTTCCATTTATATTTCTAAATATATTCACAACACGCATACTAAAGAGGAAGAGGAAGTTTCTATTTCACACCCCAAAAAATATGTGTTTCCTAAGCAGAACATGTGTTCTCTCTCTCTCTTTAGAATACACAATAAGCCACTTGCTCCATGCAAGATAAACGTAATTCAAATAATAATTATTAATCTGAACACATCAGTGTAATTACTGATATGGACTGAAATATTCACTAGGAGCTGGACAAACATGAAATTCACTTACAGACTGGAATTCAAACGTAGCCCTAAGTCAAGCAAGCAAGCTATTTCCCTCAATAAGCCAAGCACCTATTGAAATATTAAGTGTTTAACACAATAACTATAAATTGGTGATGGTAGAAAGGTAGAAACAAATGATTATTTTATAGAGGAAACTTATAATTCAGTAAGCTGGAATGTCCACTTTTACTTGTGTCTATGAAACAGTTAAGTGCCCTGATGACCTAAGATACTGTCAACATGTCAAACCCAATTTGACCTCAAAGAAGTGAAAGCAGCTGTACATTCAAAGCTACACAGTACAAAACACAAGTAAATTTTTTCAACTTTAAAACCTAAAAATTTGAAAATCGTTTGCCTTCACTTTCATAACCAATCAGAAACAAGAAATGCATATTATACCTGTCTGAAATATTTCATCAAGTCTCTCTGCCACCTTCTGTGGGAGGCCTGCCTCTATCAGTGTCTTGTAGTGTTCTGTGTGAGTTACACTGGAAGTATCCATTGGTTCTTCCTCTTCTTTTAACTGTACCGCATTACCATTCACCTGATTAGCCATTTTATTATGCTGCTGGAAAAAATTCAGGAGCTATATTACATAAAGCCAGAAATAACTAATTTGTAGGACAATGCATTTATCTAAACTAATTTGTAAACATGCTGCAAGTGACTTGAATTAAACCTATTATTTAAAGCCTTTAGAATGCAGCTCACCTACATTAAATAAGTACAGTTCTAAATACTGTGGAACATGTACATGGAATAGCGCACAATTTTAAGCACTTCATGTACATCAGATCTAATTTTGATTTTGGCATTAATTTCTGTGATCTTAGTGGTGGGGAGTATACTGAAATGCATGAACATCTGCCATTATTACCCTGGTCTCAAAAAGATTTTAAGTCAATGTGCTTAATACAGAGGCCTACAGGGCAGCTTAATATGCAAATGTCAATACTTGCTTTCCATCTTTCCCATAGTTTTCTGGCTTATTTCCATACCTTCCTTCAAATCCTGTTACATAAGAGAAGCCATGCTGCTTTAATGTACACTAGTTGCCAGAACACTTTTAAAAATAAAATAAAAAACAACATGCCACATTAGGTTTTGCACAAGTGGAACAATCGATAAACGAATTGCATGTCACATACCAGCAAGATGAACTTGTATTAAATTCTGCATATCATAGCACAGCATGTTATTCCAGATATTAGAGTTTAAATGAAAGGTTTAAACGAAAGGCAGCACCTTCAATTTTCCATATCAGTGAGAAAGACTTGATGCGAAAGTCAATAAGAAGACTGCAGAGATATGAATAAAAAAAAGTAGCACTATCTTCTCAAACAAATACTGAGGTATTTTGCCAAGTTATTTTATGTGTCTGATTACAAACTGGTGCTTAATATTCAGGCATGACAGCACAGGTGATATAAACAACTACTTAAGGAAGAGGGCTGGTTGACAGTGCCATATTAGCAGAGGCAAAGCAATCTTGATTTCACCAGAAAACTCAGTAAGACATATGAAACAAAGATTTTTAAAAAATGTTTTAAGTGCAGAACACTAAAACTAGTCCTTCAAATACTAGATACAACTTTAAGATAATCATCCAATTAAAAGCATGCAATACAATTAATGTATCAAAAGCAAGACAAAAGATGTCCCACTCCAGAAAAGTTTTGCCATCAAAACATTTTAGTTCAAGGTCAATGAGTACTTTAATGGGCTATGACCATACTGTAGCTTGTGCAGAATAACTGGTACACTATTCCATTTTTGTAGCAGATGCCACCACACTCCTTTCTACTACAGACTGTATAAAATCCCTGAAATTTTTGCTACTGCATGTTTTTGAGCACATGTCCTACTTTAAGACCAAAAGCACAAAAAGCTTTCAAGCTGAACAAAACTGTTTTGGTGATCCACAAAACCGAGGCCTTCTAGTTTATTGAGGTTGCTCCTTAATACCTCTGCACTTACATGAAAAGCAGCAGTGGTGCATGAAGAGACAAAACCCCACAAAGAATTAAGACCAGTTGCTTCTTAGCAAATACTGCACCCTGAACACGGGATTAAGATGCTACAAGTTTTCCCCAAAGAATTTCTCAGTGGTTAGTCTGGTTATATTAAACCTCATTTCCCCCCCCTCAAGTGAAAGCATGTTTAGAAGTGTTACATCCACACTACATGCAGCATTTTATGGGTTCCAGTTCTGCTTTGTCACGTGTTACTTCCTTTGCGGGGAACACAACACCCAAAAAAGTAGGTCCGTCACACACAAAGCCATTTTTCTAATGAAAATTGTATCCAAGCAAAGGCTAGTGGGACAAATGTAACCCATTTTGGGAGATTCATTGTTTCTAGATACCTCATCTGCACTATACAGTGGTACCTCGCAAGACGAATGCCTCGCAAGACAAAAAACTCGCTAGACGAAAGGGTTTTTTGTTTTTTGAGCTGCTTCGCAAGACGATTTTCCCTATGGGCTTGCTTCGCAAGATGGAAACGTCTTGCAAGTTTGTTTCCTTTTTCTTAACACCGTTAATACAGTTGCGACTTGACTTCGAGGAGCAACTCATAGAACTTTTTTGAGGTTTTTAAAGACTTTGGTGATTTTTGAAGCTTTTCCAAAACTTTCCCGACACCGTGCTTCGCAAGACGAAAAAAATCGCAAGACGATAAAAATCGCGGAACAAATTAATTTTGTCTTGCGAGGCACCACTGTACAGTGAACCCTTAGGTTACGTACCTCTTTGGATATGTAATCTTCAGGTTGCGAAAGCGGCAAACCTGGAAGTATTTTTCCGGGTTTCGCCACTCGCGCATGCGCGGAAGCGCTCTATCACGCCATGCGCAGAAGCGGTGCCTCTGGTTACGGATTTTTCGAGGTGCGCACAGACCCCCGGAACAAATTAAATCCGTATCCAGAGGGTCCACTGTATATTTAAAACAGCATCAGACCACTAAAAACAGCATCTTCACCCTAAGACTCCTAATTTATTAAGGGTGCTGAGAGTACTTAGGAGACCCCCCCTGGTACCATCACAGAGTTCCAATCTCCAGTCATCCTCTCTTCCCATAGAACTCTGTGAATTGTGGCTCTCTAAAGGGAATAGAAGTGTACTAACAACTCTCAGCATCCTTAACAACGTACACTTCCCAGGATTCTTTGGAGGAAGCCATGACTGTTTAAAGTGATATAATACTGCTTTAAATAGAAAGTGCAGACGGGACCCTTCGCCTGGTCACAGGAACTTGGGCTTGATTATCTCCAACAATGAAATGCCAACACTACCAAAGCAAAGACAACTTGAGGGATATGGGGATATGTAGCACCCGAACAAAAATTAACACCACCTTTACTTCTTATTCTAAATACTGTCGCTTCAAAGCATTCTCCTCCAACAGAATGTTCATATAGCTGACATTTATAAAGATTCTCAGTGCACTTCAGTACATCTCTCAAAGGCTTGAAAAAGAATACAGAAGACACAAGTATGTCTATCAATGTTTTAGTGATAAAAAGATGACTGGTTGATTAAGATATTTACAGATAAGTTTAGTTACCCTATGTACATAGAATTCCCAGAAAATACTTCAAGACCATTCTAATTTCTCTTCAGAGCTGGTAGCACAATGAAAAAGAAACTTGGCCCTCCTGGACAGAGCTTCGCTTTTCTGCAGACAGGTGTGGGTTCCACAAGGAATCAGAGTCTGGAGTGTTTATGGGGAAGGGTTGGTTGGTTCATATTTTATAGAACTACTTAGTTATTAACATTATTAGAAATATGCTAATACAACTTTATTAGCAAAGCAGTAACCTTGCTGAAGCTAAACAAGTCTGGGTTGGCTCAGTGGATGGATGAGAGACTCCATGGGAATCCTATGTATGCTGACTTTTAAGTGTCACAAGAGAAGGAAGGTAAGTGTACTAAATAACCTATTAAAAAACAACAATATATCAATCCCAAGGAAATGACACCTTCACCACAGTTCAGTTTGTTACACAAATTACTTAACAAATATTCATGTATGAAAATTATATACAGTATAAGCAGAATGTCAGAACAAGCAAAACTCAAGATTTGTCTCCATATTTTACCGTTCTATTCTGCATGCAGCTGTGGAAGAACTGCATACAAGCTTTGACATGAAGTAAGCTTTTGGGACCAGGGAAATCCTTTCTGGAGGAAATGTGATTGTACCCCCCCCCCGGGCCATGCTGATAACATTCAGGCACCAAACTGAAAACATTTATGTCTAGGCTTTTGGAACACAGTTGGTATGGAGCCTAAATATTTACTGTAAAGTACTGTTTATTTTTCACTACATGGCATTATAGTTCTTCATATAGACAGCTGATGATTTAAATTGCTTTATCGTGTTTGTTTTTTATAGTTGCTGTTAAGACACCCTGACCTTCTGTAGAAAGATGGGAAGAACAAAAAATAAACTAACAGTCACTTTGCAATCGAAACCCATCAACAAATTCACATGATCCAGTACTACTATTGTTTTTGAGTTTTACCTTCACAACTCACTATAATGGACTCATTCGCACTGAATTTACAAATGCAGATAAAAAAACATTCAATAACACAGTTTATGATCCAATACAATTAGTTAAGAATTTTCCTCACACATTTATCAAGCTTCTGTTCTGCCTTTCCATAAAAGGCATAAAATTTCTTCTGAATATACCAAACTATGGCAAACTTAAAAACTAAACTAACTCGTTACACAAATAATTACAGAAACTGGGTATTTACCAGGCTATTCTTCTCAGCCTTCTGCTCTAATATTACTACTACCACCACCAAGCACAGGTTGCTGCAAATACAGCAATGCATATAACTAAAAGCCTGATGCTATGCTCAGAGGTCCACAGATTCACTCATCGCAGTTACCATGGCAACCACCCATCTTCCCTAGACTCTGACTTCACATTGCGCTTTCGAGTCACTAAACTTCCAAAGCAAGATAAAGAGACTTACCCTACCTCCCGCTGCCCCAAGTCTGGAACTCAGGCTAAAGGCACTCAGAATGCCTCTAAGGCACAGTGTGAAATCAAGGGTGAGACCCTCCCACCTATTAACCTTATTCCAAGCTCAGTCTCTTACACTGCATGACACTGTGTAGTGTCAGAGATGGAGCACACACATATAGACACTCTGTGCAGAGGGGTAGGGGTGGGGCCAGGGTTGGAGGTGACCATAAATAATGGCTGGCTACCAAAGCCCCACATTTGCGGGCTCTTCCTAAACACTACTTTTTTGCTTTCACCTAGGCAAAATAACCTGCATCTTATGCTCCAGCTATCACTCCATGCAAGAGCAGGGACAGGGGGTGGCACTGTGGTCTAAACCACCGAGTCCAGGCTGGAGTGTAAAGTGGGGTGAGGTCCTGCTGCTTTATCCCAGCTCCTGCCAACCTGGCAGTTCAAAACATATCAGTGTGAGTAGGTACTGCTGCGGCAGAAAGGCAAACGGCATTTCCATGCACTCTTGCACTTGTCATGGTGTTCTGTGCACGGTGCACCAGAAGCAGTTTTGTCATTCTGGCCAGATGACCTGGAAAAGCTGTCTGCGGACAAACACCAGCTCCCTTGGCCTGAAAGCAGAGGTGAGTGCCACACCTCATAGTCAAATTTGACTGGACAACCATCCAGGGGTACTTTACCCTTTTACCATGCAAGATTCCTTTGCACTAGTACTTGGCTGATATTCTGTCAATGCACCAGTGGCTTTTGTAATGCCGCTGTGAGATATATTTGCCACCCTAGTCTATGTTCTAGCAACCTGCTTCAAGGTGTTAGACCAAAGATTTGTGGAATGACAGCAGGACAGGGCAGCTGTATGAGACATACTGAAGAATCTTCTTTTGACCATGAATGTTGTAAATTCTTATGTGCAGAATAGAGTATATGTGCTGCCTATCCTATGGGCCCCTGCACTTGGATATTAGTCTTATGCATTTAGTTCTCATTCACATTTCAAAAGTGTAGCCTTGCACTAGTGCCAGTTAGGGTCCCAATTCCAGCATCCTATGCAGGAGGGCCAACTAATTTTATGCCTCCTATACACACTGTTATCCACTTGGAACTGCTGCAAAGCTTTATAGTTCTATGTGTTGAACTGGGCTGCCCAAGTTCATTGCACTGGTGTAGGAACAGGGCTTACAGACACACTAATGCAGGGCACATCCAAAACAATCCTAAGCTTGTTTGCACTCAAGTCCCACTGTATTCACCATGGGTTGCTTCCTTAATTGTGACCCTAATCAGCTCAGTTGCTTCCTGATATGACTATGACTCAAGAAATAAACTTATTCTAAGATTATAGAATAACATTTTACACTAGAGTAATGTGAGGTTTATTCTATTTTAGTGTTTTTATTTTTATACCAAGCAAAAATCTTAATACAGTAAGTTATCCTAAAGTTTGATCAATCGTTAAAATCAATTAAAATAGGCACACAACCAACAGACAACATTGTTCTTACACTGGAATTTTATATCCCACTTCAAGAGAAGGCAAATAAGCAAAATAGATTTATTGTTACCAGAGTAGCCCACTAGACTCTACTGAAATTTGAGAAATGAGAGACATGTATAGTGCAATCCTACAAAGAAGCAAGTCCCACTGAGTTTAATGGGGCTTATTCCCAGGAAAGTGAGTCAGTACAGAGTTGCAGGATTGTAGCCACAGATACTGATCTATAATAGAAGCTAAATTATAACTTAAACCACTGCAGTACTACTGACACCCTTATACAACTTCTGAAAGAGGATATAGGTATGACAAAATGCTATGACAAAAATGTTACAGACTACTGTTTAGCAAACTACATTAAAATTATTCGTGTATATTTTTTTGTAACTGAAAAGTTATTCAGCAAGTTTCCCCACTCCATAGCAAGTTACTATGTTTTTACAAGCTAACAACACAGCACAGCTGCAATCTTTGTATGTGGAGTTTTTAAATCCCTTCTAACTCACATCAAGATTTCAATGAGAGTTTCAGAAATAACCCAGTTATTTTCTGAACTTAAAAATGAAAGCCATAGCTCTCCAATGATTCTATATGTCACCACAAACTCACAATAAACTCTACACTGTCTCTGCATATGTAAAATAGGTATATATACCTACAATTACAAGTAACCTGGCTGAGTAAACCAAGTATTATCACACACACTCAGGATGGACCATATACCTAATATACCTAAACAGGACATTGAAGTAATTCCTGAAAATAGCACATGCTGCAGAAAGAACTTAGCTAGCCTACAGGTCGCATGGATGGTGCTACAAATACAGTAACTTCACAAGTGTAGTACTGTTACAGTTAAAACATTCCACCCCATTTCCTCTACCATCAAAGTTAAACAAGTATCAGCAGCTGTCAACAGCTCCTATGGTATTCTCACCAACCAGAATTCCCAATTAATCACTGTCTTTCACAAAGAACAAAGAACCCTTACCACAACCAAATCTGATTCTGACAGCGCCACGAAAAAGCACTGTGATAAGTTTCAAATCAAATGGTACTTGTAGGCGGGGCAGGGATATGCTCCATTTGCAAAAATAAAAAATGGGGAGAATCCAGGCTCCCCTTAGGAAAAGGAACATTTGGCGGATGGGTGTTTTTTTTTGTTTGTTTTGTTTTTAAGGACAGTAACTCAAGGCACATATGCTCGGAAGCTAAAAACCGTGCTGTGTTTCCGCAGGCCGGCGATGCACAGGAATGCAGCCCTGCAGCTCGATCCCCGAGTTACAGCTTCGCCCGCAACTTTAAAAATTCCTGCCGGCTTCCAATGGGACTCATTCCCGGATTTCAAAAGGTGCCTAAGGCTTATCCGAGAGAAATATTATGCCCGCCGGCCAAGCAAACACCCCTTAGGGACCACGACATTCAAGGCGGCAATTCGCAAACCGGAGGAGGGGGAAAGGCAGGAATAATAATAATAATAATTTCCATTTCTAAGGGAATGGAAACCCCCTGCAAACACGCCAGGCGCTCAAAAAGAAATCGCCGCATTGGTTTTAAACGCCCACACACCTTCTTCCTTCCTCCCCATCCCAGGTCATGATAACGGGGTTAGGCCTCCTTCCTTTTCCCATTCTCCCTCTCCCGGAAAGCGGCGGATCAGGGCCCTCCGCACTCAGCTGAGGAGGCGCCTCTGGAGGGGGGGGGGTCGCACGCAGCCGGGCCTACCTTCCCCGCCCCCACGTCGACGGCGCGGGGCCTGCACCGCCCAGACGCATCCCGCCAGGCGCGCCGCGGCCACAAAAGGCGCCTCGGAGAGCGCGGGCCTGGGCATCTCTCTCTCCCCACCCCCCGCGCGCCGCCGCCGCCAACTACGAGAGCGCGCACTCCTCTCTCCCACCCTGCCAACATCCCTTCTCTCCCCCCGGTTACCGGTTCCTCGGCCAGGCGGGCCTTGGCGGACAGACTCACCGGAGCGGGACCTGCGCGGCGCGGCTTGGAGGCAGCGGCTGCAAATGGCGCGCGCTCCTCCTCTTCCCTCCCCTCATGGACGGCGGGAGCGACCCCGGCAACGCGAGGGGTTTCCCGGAACTGTTTCCAGGGACTGCTCCCCGGCGTCCAATCCGGGGGAGGCGTTTCGGAGAGGCAGGCCGGAGACTCTATCGGCGCCAGGAGGCGGGAGCAGGCGGAGGGCCCCCGCGGCCAATCAGAGCCCGAGGAGAGCCCCGGCCAATCCGCACGGCTGGGAAAGCCATGGCGCGCCGGTAGGGTTAGGCGGGGGAGGAGGTGAGGGGGGGGGAGAGGGAAGGAATCCAGCGCTTAAAAAAAAGAGCGGACGATTCCCGCTTTTTGTAGTTCTTATGCAGACAAAGGAGGCTCGCTGGTCGCCTGGCTCTTTCAGCCTTGCGAAGGCCTCTCTGTTGAGGTATCTGGCGGTACTTCAGCCTGGACGTCTTTGAAGGCTCCCTCTTGAAAAACACACAAAATAAATCCCTTCACAAGTAAAAACCAAAAACAAAGCCTAGTTTCGCAAGAAGTTTAGTACAGATTCTCTCTTCCTGACACGCTCCTCTTCTAGATTTAGGGATTTATCCTTATCATTTTATGGGGGCGCAGGTGTATTTCTGCAGCAGAGGCAGTGGTCGGACCTTTTCGGTTGTAGCCTCTAAATCACGTCCTTTCTTCCCAAAGACGTCTGTGTACTAGGACCCTTTCTTAATTCCCTTTAATAAATGGATTGAAACCTTTCTGTTCGAAAGAAAAGAAGATAGGGCATTAGCGTTTTATATTACAGTGGCTTTTTTCCCTTTAATTTTAAATATATATATATTGCAGTGCGTTATTTTGTTGATTTTGTGTTGGACTGAATTTAGGTTTCAACCCCCTATTTAACTCAGTGGAATTTATTTCTGTGTAGATATGTATAGGGCTGCACAATATGTTGACAATATGTTGGTGGATTTTCAACTTTCTATACTATATGATACGTTACACTATATTATATATTATGTGTAACATAAATTATAAACAATTGTGGGCTGCTTGGTCCTTATACTGCTTATTTAATTTTAATGTATTATTAGTTATTTTGAGTTTTAAACATTTAAACACTTGTAAAGACTAGAGGCATGTGCTTTATTTGTGTTTAACCTGTTGACTGTATATTTCTTGATGATCCATTTTTATTTAATTTTGAATTGTAATGACCTTAGGCTATTAAGTTATAATTTGTGATGTAACATATCCAGTTACATTTTGTGGTTGTCATCTTCCTCCAGTGCCGTTTTTAATGAAAGGAATATAAATGTTTCAGTTAATTAGTGAAACCACACCTGAACTACATGTCACAACGGATGCAACTTTAGCTGTGTACACAATACATTTAAAGCATGATCTCCCACAAAACCAAATTCTGAGGGCTGTGGTTTACCTCCTCACAGAACTACAATTCCCAGTACCCTTAACTAACTACAGTTCCCAGGATTCACGGACTGGACCACACTTTGAATGTCCTTTAAATGCATGGTGTACATGCAGCCTAAGAGGTGTTTATCATTTCAGTAAGAAGGAAACGAAATGGGAAATAACCCACGATGAATCCAGTTGAAGGTGCTTGGTTGTCATTTCAAAGCCTATTTTGTGTCAGTAATGGTGGCAAAGTTATTCTTAGTGGCACACTTGTGTTTAGAAATACAGGAAGCTGCCTTGTACCGAATCAGACCATTGATTCATTAAGCTCAGCATCATCTGCAGTGCATTGAGTAGACTTTCAGAAAGTATTTTCCCCAGCTCCATCTGGAATTGCCAAAGTTTGGACTTGGAAACTTTGAATGAAAAGCATGCCCTCTTTCAACAAACCCTTCTCTTCTTTGCACTGTGTAAGGCTATATTACATTCTGTCTGAAATGTGGTTGGTAGGCATACTTGCCATGCTGATATAATTCTGTAGGGTTTGTTTGTGTCTGTTCAGACTTGGATGTTACTGATAAATCAGAAACCGTAGCGGAAGTGTCCCGATCTTTCATTCTCTTTGATTTCATTGAATTTATTCCAGTTGTTTATTCACACTCAATTTAGCAATTTGGTGTTGTTTGTGCTTGTTCCATGCCCATCTTGGCTACTGATCACTGGTGGGCAGTCACCAACATATCAAGCAGCTGACACTACACTTTGAAGCCCCAACTATTAGGACTAGAATGAGCAGCATGGGTTTTTTGAAAGCCCTTTTCAAACATCTCCATGCTGCTTTTTGATCCTCCAAAAACTAGAGGTTCTGAGACAAAACCTCTCCTTTTTAAAGGCAGCCTATATCAGATATCTAGCAGGGTTCTGAGGCAACTGTCCAAGGATACCAGGTTCTGATGCTGGCCCTGCTTTACTGGGCAAAATGCTTCTGTTGGGAATAATCATTTGGGCTTGATGAGAAATACTGGATTCTGATATAAAAGTGGTTTCTCTTAGCTATAATTTCACTAGTGTTCACAGTCCACATTCATTCTATGGCACTAATTGTGTTGCTGGATGTCAGCTCACACCATTCTGGCCACACAGGCTGGAAGTAAAGGGAGTTTCAAGTCCAACAGCATTTGGAGAGGTACATGTTTCCCACTCCTGATGTAGTAGCAAGTGACCAGTTATTACTACTCCCCGACTAATGCAAAGGGAGTGTTATATTTGCCAACAGTTACAAGAAAAAGGTGCACAAAACAGTAAGAAAAATGGTTTGGTAATGCAATCATTACATCCCAAATTGCTCCTCAATGTGAGACTTTGCTAGCAATCTTTAATGTAACCCCCTGCCATCTCACCCTGGGGGAGGGGGAAGATTCAGTAGACATAATTATGGCTAGATATGCTGCTAAGTAAGAAAAAAACTGAGCAGGAAGAGAGTGAGTTGTTTATTTCAGACTGTGATAAGAGCAAGACCTTGGATGTCGGCAGACACCATATTTAAAGCAATGCCAGATACATCTCACACCGATAAGGACGGAATTTACTTAATCATCATCAGTAAGCTTCTTGAGCTTGTACTTATGGCGTTCAATTTCCTTCTGCAGGCGCTCTATTTCTTTCTTCTGATGTTGTATTTCATCTTCATGATGTTTTTTCAATTCTGCCAATTGTTCTCTCTCTTTCTCCCTGCAATAGTATGGTATGAATTAATAATGAAGATTACCACAGCTAATCATTCAAGTTTCAGCTAAAGACAATGCACAAAAGATAGGGCAATGCAGTGTACCCCCATCTACATATGCAACCTTAGCAAGCCTATTAGATGTGTACAATTGTAGGTGCAGCCTCACCATTTCACACCTTCACCCATATTCAGCAGATACTTGTTGACATCTGTCTATCTTGAGAGACAATGGATTGCGCTGCATTAGCAACACCAATGTGATTTCTCCGGGGCGGAAGCCTGGGCTGTGTGTATGGAGAACCTGGGCTGCCCAGACAACAAAAACTCCCTCTTGGTCTTGCTGATGTACTCTAAACGTCTTGTATGCCCTATCTGCCAGAGCCTGTCTTCGCATGCAGGGGAAGTCCATAACCCACTGACGGTTTGAGACCCATTGGCTACCCTCACCTGGTTTAGCTGACCAGTTGAAGCTGTTTCCAGGGCTGTGGCTGTTGTTGCATGCTGACAGTTTATAGGAGCCACAGATAATTGAGTGCATGGTGGGGACCAAAGATGGACAACCTACCCCAGAAGGAGCACAGTGTGTGTCAACCACTAGAGGTACTACCCCTCCTCTAACACCCCATACACCACAGTCAGCAGATACAGCAATATAATAAAAATAGTCCAGCTCATTCAGAGGGCACAAAACAAACCATAAGGTAGGCAGTTAAGCAACCGCTGTTTTCCAAGGTTTGCCACGGAGTTTGATTCCTGTAATATTTACTATTACTACATTAATATTCTGCCTTTCCTTCAAAGAGCTCAAGCCATTGTGATGGTTCTTTCCCATCACAATCTTGCACCTTAGGCTGAGAAATAATAGTGTTGGGTCTTCCTAGTCCAATTCTCTAGTGTAACCAGTATACTGCACTGGCTTTTGGTTAACTTTCTAAGATAGTACCTGTCATTAAGTATCTTCAATGGAATAAAAAGACTAAGCATTCCTTCCACATTTACTTCTACACAAGTTCCACTGAGTTAAGTAAGCCTCTGAGGATGCTTGCAACTACTACAGCCACATGCCAAGCTACATATTACAATAAATTGTCTGTAATAAAAGCCCTGAACTGATGATTATTAATTTTTTGAGAAGACAAAAACATTAAAAAGACTCAATCTTCCCCCTTCTGCTGTTTTTCTGCATCAAATCACATTTCCACCTCAGCCCATCTCCTTAAAGGCTGGGGCAGGGGAAGAAGAGAAAGATGAACCATCATGATTTATGTTTCAATTTAACTCTAAGAAGAAAAGAACAAAAACTAAAAGAAAAAAAAGTAGTGCAATAACTAAATTTGTTTATTGTGGTATAAGCTTTTATAATCTATATCCAACATCGGATGAGTGAAGTGCTATTCTTAATAGAGGAGCAGGTAGCTCATTTACACAAACAGAGCAAAAATGTGATCAATGGGGCTAAACGTCCGTACAATTCAGGGACTGGAGTCTATGGCATTTCTGTGCAGAGTTCAAAATGTACATAAAGCAAAGTCACTGTTTTGTGTAAAAAAAAAAAAAAAAGCCCATTAGTTTGCTTCCACCGAGTCACCAAAAGCAGGGGAGAAAGAAAGGGACAGGCATTTCCTTTAATAAATGTATGTCCTGCATTTTAAGTGGCAAAAACATGATAAGTTTTAAACAATATTTAAAACATTATAACAAAGAATTTACCAAAAAAAATCCACACACAACACCTAGGTAAATAACACAATCCACTAAAATAATAATCCAGCAACCTAAAACAATTCGCCAGTTTATTTTGGCACACAAGGCCAAAAGAGAGAGAGGAGCTGAACAAATCCTACGAACGCCTCCTCTCCCAAAAACTATATCCAAAAATACAAAAGTACAAGTTGCAGATCCGTCTTTTAGTAGCCACTACGTGGGCACGACCCAGAACTAGGCGTGACGCTTCCACCAGTACATTTAGGCAGCAGGTAGGATGGCGGGGGTGGAGGGAGGAAAGAAGATGTCGACATGTACCTGAAGTAGCGCTCCTCCATGGCGGCTTCCCGCTTCCCAAAGGCCCCGCCAGCTTCACGGACGGCGCCGCCTCCGCCGCCGCCCTTCCCAGCACCTTTGCCCAGCTCGCCCAGCTGAGGGAGGGAAGAGGGGAAACAAGGGGAGAAAAAGGAGGATCAGGCTCCAGATTCGCTTCCCTCTTCCAACCGCGCCTGCCGAGGCCTTTCGCGGCCCCGAAGCCCTCCGCTGCCCACCTCACCCCAGCCCAGTACCTGGTCGGCGCCAGAGCTCCAGGCCCGCTGTTGCTGGGGCAACGCCAGGGCTCCTCGAAAACCGCACCTCAGGACGGAACCCACCGCAGCCATCTCAAGTCTGTCCTTGTCGAGGGGCGTGGAACCAGCCCCAGCAAAATCTGATGATGCGCCTTCCTGCCTGGGAACCGGAAATGAGGGGGAGTAAAGCAAGGACCAATCAGGGCGAAGGAGCGAGACAAAGCGGACCAATCGCCGTTTCGCCCTGAAGGTCATGCGGAAGTGGAAAGGGAGGAAGGCGAAATCATAGAGATATGAAATGTAGAGGGGAAGAAAGGCGACGGACGCTCACATTCTGAACTTCCGGCATCAGATTGCAAGGCTCGTGTGTGTGTTTTTTTTTGTCATGGTGGTGTAAGTTATTCCGGGCCAGTTCGCCGAAGGAGGAATGTAGTGATAGTTAAAAAATGTTTAGGGACACACTCATTTTCCTACTCATATTGAAATGCTGCCCCTCAAAGAGGCCAAACTTAGATTCACAAAACGTTTAGGGGGTATGCGTACCCCCAGAAAAAAGCACTGGGGTTACATAGACCTAATGCCATCCCCAGCTCACGTGCCTTGAGCTCAGTAGTACTGTGTTGGGCATATTTGGCGATCACTAGTGGCCAAGTAAAATTGCCTTTCATGAATGCAGCTTTAGCAGTGTGTTCCTACATGACTCTGAGGCCAATTCTGAATCCACACGTCCTTCCACAGTGGGGACATAGGTTTCCAGGTGGGAATTGATCACACTGAGGATTTTCCAGACGCGTCTTCCTCTTTGCTCATTTCTCCCTTTCATCCAATATTCGTGCTTCTTCAAAATCCATGATGCCTTGGGTAGAAGCTATTCTGCAATTGGAGCGCTCACAGGCCAGTGTTCCCCAATTTTCGGTGCTTATACTGCTTTTCTTTTGCCTTGAGAGTGGCTTTAAACCTCTTGTTGTCCACCAGTATTTTGCCTTCCATTCCTGAGCTGGGAATAGAGTAGGCCTCAATGGAATTTACTTATGAGTACAGTGGTACCTTGGGTTAAGAACTTAATTCATTCCAGAGGTCCGTTCTTAACCTGAAACTGTTCTTAGCCTGAGGTACCACTTTAGCTAATGGGGCCCCTCGCTGCTGCCGCACGATTTCTGTTCTCATCCTGAAGCAAAATTTTTAACCCAAGGTACTATTTCTGGGTTAGCAGAGTCTGTAACCTGAAGCGTCTGTAACCTGAAGCGTATGTAACCTGAGGTACCACTGTAGACATATAAAATGCAGGTTGCAAGCCAATTCATAAAAAGAGCTAGATTGCATTAGTCCATAGACCAGAGTAAAAACAGAAACATAAAAGCCAATTCAATCTGTAGGTAGTACATCCTACATGACTAGAAGGCACTGATGACATTAACTGGTTTACACCTCTTTTCAAGCTGTTCAAATTGGAAACCATCACCACTTCTCATGGCAGCAAGCTCCATCATTTAAAAACGTACTGTGTGAAGAAGTACATCATTTTGTCTGTCCTGAATCTTCCACCATTCAACTTCATTGGATAGCCCCAGCGTCTAGGTTATGAAAGAGTGAGAAAAACTTCTATCTACTTTCTCCATACCATACATAATTTTATAAACCTCTCTCATATACCCCCCTTACTTGTCTTTTTCCCAACTAAAAAATCCCAAATGTAACTTTTTTCTCATAAGGGAGTGGCTCTGTCCTACCAATCTGTTGCCTTTTCTTCACCTTTTCCAACAGTGCAATATCCTTTTGGTGATACAGTGACCAGAACCGTGCATAATATTTCATTTTATTTACAAGGCTTCACAAAAGCGGCCAAAAACACCCACCTTGCCTAGTTTCTCTAATAGACACTCGACCCAAGCCATATTCCATACTGCCACTGCTCTGCACCCTTCTCAGGTACTTTTGCCTGGCTGAATGTATCATTGAACAACAATAATGCCTCTTGCTTGCCTGGATGCAAAGGGTGTGTGTGTGTGTGTGTAGAACCCTTTGGTTTTTCCTAGCAAGAAATCCACTTTTTCACAGCAGCTGCATACTGCATTGACATTTTCACTTGAGCTATCCAAATGACCCCAGTATCTTTTTCAGATATTGGGGATATATTTTACCAGCTCATGTGTATGTGAAGTTAGAATGTTTGCACAATACTTTATGCTTACTTAAATTGAACCACAGTAGTACCATAGAGTAAGTTGTCTTGCCAGGCTTATCTATGTCACTTTCCCTTAGCTTGGTGGGAGCAGGTAGGCAAATAAAGCATTTGTGTTGTCTCCCCTCTTAGTCTACCCAAGAAACACAGTCTGTGAAGAACTTTGAGCTGGTTTGCTCCAGCTCAGCCACATTGCTCTCACCAGCCATTCTTGTGTTCCCATACCAATAATTTAGAAACTTTCACTACTTTGTAATGAAAAAAAGGTTTTACTGCTTCTGACTGATGTATGGAAAAGCACATGAACCAGACCTTTGAAATGTTTGGTAAGTAAACCAATTTGTAACTTGCCAAACGTGTGGCCTTTTCCTGCGTGGGGGAAGAGGGACATTTTAGAACTCACTTGGAAGGGCCAACAGCCTATATTTCCATACCCTACTTCACTGTCTATTTTGTGACTTTCTCTGCTGGGATTCTCTCACCCAGGAGTACTTGCCCCAAACTTGGAATATGTTTGTATGTATGCACCATTAGCATTGACCTGATAAGGATTTGGGTGGAACCCACCTCACAGGGTTGTTGTAAGGCAGGCGGAAGGAGAGAAGGAGAACTGACCATAAGCTCAGAAGGGCAGGCTAACAACATCCCTTGTGGAGGGGGAGGGGGAAAGCTGCCATGTCGCTTAGCCCCGTTGGTAGCTACAGCACACCTGCTGCCGGTGGCAAGAGACCTGCGACATAAAACGCACTGACAGCCGCTGCAACCCCGCACTGGCCCTTTAAGAGCCCCTCCCGTCCCCTCCGAGGCAAGGCGGGCAGCTGCCGGTCACGTGTCGGCGGCTTCAGCCGAGGAGGGAGGGGAAAGGGGGTCCGTATCACGTGGGAAGGTCGAGCGGAGGGTCACGTGGCGCGAGAGATGGCGACCCCGGCGGAGCGAGAGGCGGGCCGCGGCGCCGAGGAGGCGTTTCTCACTTTCTACACGGAGGTGCGGAGTCCCTGGGCCCCTTTCCCCCCCCTTGCGCTTCGAGGCCCCCCGCTTTCCCTCGCCCTCCTCGGGCCTTGGCGCTGGCTAGGCCGCGGGGGGAGATCCACAAGGCGCTCCCTCCCTTCGTGGCCTCTTCCTTTGGGGCTCCCTGCGACTCCTGTCCCGCGAGGCCTTTCCCTCTGCCGTTCCCACCTCACCCCCCCCCCGCTCCCTGGGGCGGAGGGGCCCATTTATGGGTGTTACTGCGGGGTGCATGACTAGAGCATCGGCGGTTCCCCAGGGCCTCTCTTGAACCCCCCCCCCCGACTGTCCTGGCTATGGCTGCCTGGGGTTGCCAATCTGGTGTTTTTGCGGGGACCCCGGGGAGGGTCTTTAATGGTGAAGGAAGGGGCAGAGGGACCCATTCCTCATCTGGTGTGCATGCAGGGCCGGATTTAGGTTTGATGAGACCCTAAGCTATTGAAGGTAATGGGGCCTTTTATATGTCCAGCTGTCCTTTGTCAACAACAAATAGTCGCAGTTTTTTGTGTTGAATACAGCCATACATCATGTTATGTTTGCTTCACCTTACGTTTTTTCAGGTTGCATCCCGTGGTACCGGAAAGGGTTACTTCCGGGTTTTGCTGCTTGCGCATGCACAGTAGTGCTAAATCGCGCTTCGCGCATGCGCACAAGCACCAAATCACGCCACGCACCTGCACAGATATGGCGCTTCAGGTTGCGGGCTCTTCAGGTTGCGAACGGGCCTCTGGAATGGATCCCGTTCGCAACCAGAGGTACCACTGTATATGCTATATGGTAATTTATGGACCTAATAAATATCTAAAGCCATTTGCACATGTTGCCATGAAACCAGTCCATGATGCAGAATGTAGTCACCCTATATATAGAAATGAGCACCCAGTGATATTTTAGGGAGCAGGCTAGCAGGCGGGGCCCATTACTTGCATCATAAGAGCTACACAACACAAAAGACTGTTGCTGTATGTAGGTCTTATTTGTTTTTTAACTTGTATTTTGGAAATGTACATCCAGGTTTTTTTTCTTTACATTTTTGGGGGGCCCCAAGAGAGTGGGGCCCTAAGCTGTATAGCTTGTTTAGCTTATATGTAAATCCGGCGCTGTGTGCATGGAGTTGTTGTTACAGTATTAATTGAATTTATATACCGCCCTATACCCTCAGGTCTCAGGGCGGTTCGCAGGATAAAATCAGAATATAAAACTGCAAAGTGCATAATCAAAATAACAGCAGCAACCACAACCCAGTATAACACCCCTCAACACATTTAAAAAGGGCATACTGAGGCCATCACATACTTTGTTAACTACAGGGCTTTCTTAAAAGTGGCTGTAGTCCTATTTCTGCTTATCTGGGACCGCTAACCCACCGCCCTGTGGATAAGACACATTGACTCACACTGCAGGGCTTGTTGGGTGTTATTTACTTGCATCCTGCCTTTCTCCCCAAGTGGGGGATCTGAGGCAGTTTGCAACATTTAAAAGCAGCGTTTATTAAATTACAGTATAATAACCATAAGTTGCACAAAACTGATAATTAAAATAACATCTCTGTGTATGTAAATGCAGCAGTTAAAATATTATTTGTCCTGGCAGCAGCTTGAAGATCAGCACAGTCTGTACGGGAGCCTGGGGCCCAAGCCCAATAGGGCTTAGGTCAGAACTATTATTTTGAGTTGTGTCCAGAAATGGACCAGTAGCCAGTGAAGTTATTTTAACAGGGGAGTAACATGTTCCCTGTAACCCAGGCATAGGCAAACTCGGCCCTCCAGGTGTTTTGGGGATTACAACTCCCATCATCTCTAGCTAACAGGACCAGTGATCAGGGATGATGGGAATTGTAGTCCAAAACATATGGAGGGCCAAAGGTTGGGGATGCCTGGTTTAATGTATCCATCCTGTGTAAAGTCTTCTAAGTGACTAACAGTTGTCGGTGCACACCTGGAATAATTAATGCAGCTGCAGTTGTGTGCCCTCTGGAATTTGATACCTCATAGTCCGATCCACATGTTTGAGTACTGGCACTTACTTGGTGCAGGATTGTACCATATGATTTCAATGTGCAAATGCAGAAACTGGTATCGGGCACAGAAATCGTCATTCAGAGAATATCAGCCTTCATTATAATAAATGTCTATACCATGGTTCAGTTAGTCATTCGGCAGCACCTGATGCTGTAACATTGCAGAAGCCAAGCAGGTATGGTAGACCTGGTTAACTCCTTTAATGGGAGACTTCTTGGAACCTCATGTAAGAGCAGGATGAAATAATGATAATAATATATACACTCAAAAGAAAGCCTATACTATATCACTGAATTCACAAACCAGTATCCATCTCCTTTATTTTGAAACCTGTTGCACTACAAATATGGTTCTGGCATGCACCATATATTATTCACACATCTGGAAAATATTTTTTTTTCCAGCAATGTAATTTGTTTTGAGGAAGGGACAGGGAAGACAGTTTGTACCAGTTTTCCCTGAAGTACCCCATACTGCCTCTCATGTTGCTGCAAAGGTCTCCTGACCCTCCGGGGCAGCTGTTCAGGTGGCAGGGGCTTGCTGGAGGAGGAGGGATCAGTCAAAATTGCTTTCTACTCCTTCCAGCATGAGCAACACTTCTCTGAGTGCATCACTGAATCCAACCCATAATGATGCTTTCCTCTTGGGCTCTGAAGATAACCTTTATTTACAGATGTTCCTTTCAACATATGTTTTAATAATGTACAGTTTTAATAATTGATGGCTGTTTAATTTCTGCAGGTGAAACAAATAGAAAAGCGGGACTCTGTTCTAACGTCAAAAAACCAGATTGAGAGGCTTACTAGACCTGGATCATCCTATTTCAATCTGAATCCATTTGAGGTAAGTCCAAGCACATTTTCATTCATACGATTTTTTTTACAGCTGTTAATTTGTTTATTGTGTGATTGACAGTCATACTCAGTTCATAGCTAGCACTTTCTTTAAGGCAGATGGAAGCTGCAATGTCATACTTGTCTCTTGAGTTTGCACCTGCAAAGAGTACCTGCCACAAAGTGTTGCAGTGTAGAGTGCTCTTGTTCAGATGTTTTATTTATGATTTTCAGATATACACATTTCAATAGTTTTACAATCATTTTAACATTTCATAACTCGACTTACTCCTCTTTCTGTCCTAAATTTGCAAATTTCTTTTAATATCTTCCCAGGTTTTTACATAATTATCTTTATGCAGATTTATATTATTTGCTGTTAACCATACACCTAGATACTTAACCTTCCTTTCAGTCTTTAGACCTGACACATCTTGTAATTTATTTTAACTCTCATCATTCATGTTTTTTACCATGAGTTTGGTTTTGTCTTTATTAATCTTAAGACTTGCTACATCTCCAGTTTTTAAATCTCTTGTAATACTTTTGGGATTGACTCTATTGGTTCTACAGATATCACCACGTCATCTGCAAATGCTTTTAATTTAATATTGTCTCTGTCCCACTCTTATACCTTTAATTTTTTTTATTACATCTTATTATTTGCGCCTGCCAGCCATGCTGTTTTCTAGGATACTCCATTCCATTCTCCGCTCTGCCCTGGTTTCCCCCACACACACACACACATATACAAGATGGGTGACACCTGGCTTGAGAGCAGTACATGTGAAAAGGATCTAGGAGTCTTGGTTGACCACAAACTTGGCATGAGCCAACAGTGTGATGCGGCAGCTAAAAAAGCCAATGCAATTCTGGGCTGCATCAATAGGAGTATAGCATCTAGATCAAGGGAAGTAATAGTGCCACTGTATTCTGCTCTGGTCAGACCTCACCTGGAGTACTGTGTCCAGTTCTGGGCACCACAGTTCAAGAAGGACACTGACAAACTGGAACGTGTCCAGAGGAGGGCAACCAAAATGGTCAAAAGCCTGGAAACGATGCCTTATGAGGAACGGCTAAGGGAGCTGGGCATGTTTAGCCTGGAGAAGAGGAGGTTAAGGGGTGATATGATAGCCATGTTCAAATATGTAAAAGGATGTCACATAGAGGAGGGAGAAAGGTTGTTTTCTGCTGCTCCAGAGAAGCGGACATGGAGCAATGGATCCAAACTACAAGAAAGAAGATTCCACCTAAACATTAGGAAGAACTTCCTGACAGTAAGAGCTGTTTGACAGTGGAATTTGCTGCCAAGGAGTGTGGTGGAGTCTCCTTCTTTGGAGGTCTTTAAGCAGAGGCTTGACAACCATATGTCAGGAGTGCTCTGATGGTGTTTCCTGCTTGGAGGGGGTTGGACTCGATGGCCCTTGTGGTCTCTTCCAACTCTATGATTCTATGATATCCATAGCCAGTGAACATTCAATGGTCACTGGGCTGTTTGGGGACTTTTTCACCTAAGCCCCCTGACCCAAGGTTTTATATTTTTGCAAACATTGTTTTCTGAGCCTGTTGGTGTCTACCTCTTAAACATGGATGATGTGGGCTACATATCTGTCATCACCTGGAAAATGAGTTTATTTGTATATAGGATTTTATGAGGCAGTCCTCTTTCAAGGAAGCCACTTCTGTCAGTTTCTCAGTCTGTGTACCAAAGAAAAAAATGCTCATTTAGGCACACACAGGCCTAGATCCAGTTGCATAACCAAAGATGTAAGCTTGGGAAAGAGCATGAGTTTTGGCATGACATGTTATCACAGCCTCGTCTGCTGGAGTGTAACCCTTCTGCTGAAGAAAGTTTTATGTAGTTTCCAGATTGCAGAAAGGCTCAGAATGTAGCTGCTTATGATGATGTTACTTTGGTCTCTTCCAGGTGTTGCAGTTGGACCCTGAAGTTACAGATGAGGAGATAAAGAAGAGATTCCGTCAGGTACATGCCTCTGTTGTTATTTTTGTAATACAAAGAGCCTTGGAGCAAATCATGTGAGGAGAGGGGAAAGTACCGTATTTTTCGCTCTATAACACGCACCTGACCATAACACGCACATAGTTTTTAGAGGAGAAAAATCCGTAGGCATGCCACCCGTAGGCATTCCCTTCATAACACGCACAGACATTTCCCCTTACTTTCTGGGAGGAAAAAAGTGAGTGTTATGGTGCAAAAAATACGGTACTTCTCCTTCAAAGACAATGGCTACTATATTAGCCAGGATATGGCAGAAGTAGGAGGAAAAGTGTTCTCCCCTAGTATTTGCAGACAAACAACAATGGCTTTGAAGTTGGATATGAGCTTCCCCTAGAAAAACTTGGGGTTTGTTTTCCCAGAATGTAAACTTGGTGGCATAATTATACCCAAATTTTGTTTCATGTCCTACTGGTTACTAGGTAACCTGTATGTTCATATACACATGCCTAGCCAGAGTATTTGTTAGAGAACTAGTTATTTAACAGTTTATTTATTTTTACTACTACAGTGGTACCTTGGTTCTCAAATTTAGTCCATTCCAAAACCAAAGCGTTCCAAAACCAAGGCATGCGTTCCCATAGAAAGTAATGCAAAATGGATTAATCTGTTCCAGACTTTTAAAAACAACCCCTAAAACAGCAATTTAACATGAATTTTACTATCTAACGAGACCATTGATCCATAAAATGAAAGCAATAAACTGTGTATTGCAGTCACACAATTAATCAGTAGCTGAACTGGGTTCCACACAGTCACAAAAACAAAAAAAAAGAGCCACAAAAACAAAAAACGCAAAATAAATAGCAAAAACAGACAGACCTCAGAGTAATACCCAAAAAGGAAGCGTGGCACTCAAATCAGAAGTGTGACACTCAAAATGGAACACGTTCAGCTCCTGAGAAAAGTTCGCAAACCAGAACACTTACTTCCAGGTTTGCAGTGTTTGGGTTCCAAGTTGTTTGAGTACCAAGGCAGAACCAAGGTACCACTGTATTTGTTTGGGATGTGCCATGTGTCATAGGTTGGGACTGTGCAAGTAACCCTGAAGCCCCATCTCCACCGCTGTTCTAAGTCCTTGAGCACTGGAAGTTCAGTTCTGACTTAGGTTGTATCAGAGACTACTCATTTTTGCAAGCTATCTCTTCCAACTAAATAGTATGGAAGTTGTGTGTGTTGTTTTGTTTTATTTGAAATTGAAGCTGAGACTCTCAAAATGCCAAATTTTGTACCAGGTAACAAGTCCTGGTCTTGCACTGTGAAATCACAGATGTGAATACTTTGGTGTTGTTTTTTTATTCACAGTTTGAATAAATTGCAGGGGAGCAAGATTTGAGGGCCCTCTAGGAAATTAGTTTGCCCTAACTGAATATCTATACAAAGAGTCACAGTATTAAGGTCCACAAATCTGTAGTTATTTGGGGTGGGTTTCTTCATTTGATCTACTCAGCTGCTTTGCTGAGATTGGGGAGGCCTGGGAATCCAGATGAAGGGCTTATTCCAAAAAGAGGAGAATGAGTGGCAAATGTTTGGTGCCATTTTATTAATAAACAAGGCAGAGAAGCGAAAGCAGAGCATTCTGTTATGGGTAGCCCTGTGATAACAGCACACCTTTTGATAAAAGTACATTTTTACTCTGTCTTTTACAGTTATCCATATTGGTGCATCCCGACAAAAACCAAGATGATCCTGAAAGGGCACAGAAGGCATTTGAAGGTACCTCGCTGATTTTCCTGTGTTTCCAAAGCTCCAGATGGTAGCATTGCACCAAATGAATGCGGTTGGGTTTGATGCTAGAGCTTGGAAAGAGAGCTGCCTACTGCTGCTCTGTTGGATCTCTGGAAATAAACACGGCTTAGTGTTTTCTCAAGCTCTGATCGCATAAGCAGTGTAGACCATTCAAGTTATGTTGAGTGTGCTGATAGAAATGTTTGGTTTGTCAGCTGTCGACAAAGCATACAAGTTGTTGCTGGACCAGGAACAAAAGAAGAGGGCCTTGGACGTGATACAGGCTGGAAAGGAATATGTAGAGCACATTGTAAGTACCGTGGGTGTGTGACAGCTAGCCTCTGATTTGAGGGAGGGGATTAAGCGACTGAGCTTGATGCCTAGGGAGGGGGTGCAATTTTATGTTTGCCGAGAGCTAAAGTGTTTCCTCATCATAGTTCAGGTTAGAACAGAGCTTTTCTGTATTTTATTCAGCCATGATTTTGATTTTCTGCAAATATAACTAGAACTGAAATGTTAGAAATGGGAACGGGGAGGCATACCAAATGTAACTATTGGTGCTTGGAATTTGATGAATGTATATTATGCAGATGAAATCTAATAGATCATTTAAACTTATTTTGAAGCTGTCTTATTAAAATTCTGCTAGGAAAAAAATGTAACTTGAAATTTTTTGCGGATGGGAGATAGGATTGATTTATTATGATACTTTCTACCATATATCATCCTAGACACAAGCTTGAGTGGATTATGTTTAAACATTTACATGTGTTTGGTGCTTTAGTTTGGCTAGGCCATATCCCTTCAGAGCTCTCTGCTCCCACATTGCTCACGTTCTTGCTGTTGAATTAGATTGAATTCTTGCTGTGCCACTTTACCTTTGAGTATGTGATGGGTGAGGAGCTTATAGAGGCACTAGAATGCTGCCTAAATTTTCCATCCTTGTCTAAATTCCTCACTCCTCTCCTTTGTCTCCAACCAGCCCCAAAAGCAGAATATTGCAGAGCTAGAAAATGAGCTTTGTTAAAAGCAAATGGGAAACTGTTTGGGACTGAACTGGAATCCTGTATCATAACCAGGGTGAATCCAGCGGGGATGGAGGGGGATGCATTTGGCCTGTGCCTAATTTTAGATGCTTTTCATTTCTTTGGCGTTCAGAATTTTTTTAAATGTGCATCACACACAGATGTGACACACTCTCAACTTAGAGATGCATTTTTAAGCAAGTAAGAGATGAGATGTAGCAAAAGACATGATTTGTTTGTTAACTGATAAAGATTTTGCCACGTTAAAGAACTGTAACTTATACATATGAATAAAAAGATATCAGTTCTTGATGGCACAAGATTAGACAGATCAGCATGTTCTTTTAAGATCAGGTGACTATCAAGCCAACCAACCACCGGCTTTTTTCTATACCTCCCTCGCCACGTATGTCATTATTTTTAAATTATTATTATTATGGCTAGGGGTCCCAAAAGCTGGAGGTGGCCTGGGACTCTATAGACTTCTGAGAGGGCCTGACCATAATGACATATATGTGGGAAGTAGGAGAAAGTTACAGAGTGTCCAACTTCTGTTCAGCTTGCAGTCTTTTTAGCTAGCCTACTTTAAGCAGGATAACTATAAACTTTTCTTTAAAAAATAATCCTGTAGTATTATCACTGATCATGTCTCCTTGTACTTGCATTTTTATATTTTTAACTTGCATATCCAGGCAGTAAAAAGTAAACAAATTCGGAAATCAGTTTTCACTCGGGGCCCATGACATCAGCGCCTGTTCTGATTGATCTTGTGGCTGTCGGAATGGGCCGCAGAAGTGATAACAAGCCTAGTGCAGTTCAGACTCTGTAAGATTTCTGTGCTCCTTACCTGTGATACCTTTTTAGGCAAAAGAGAAAAAGAAACAGTTAAAGAAAGAAGGCAGGCCAACCAACATAGAAGAAGATGATCAAGAAGTAGTAAGTTGACCAGCAGGATATACTTGTTTGGCAGGGCTGGGTTCTCCCAGGCCTGGGGTGTACCTCGTTGCTTTATGATTTGGGAGCAATGCGCATCTTGGAACATCTGAGGCCTTGAGGCTGGAGGCTTGTAAACCTCCTCAGTGTCTCCTGAGTGCCTTTTGGGTCCCCTCTTACATTTGTGGGCCCCCAGCAGACTTAACAGGTGGTGGGATGCAACATCACTCTTATGAGTGCTGGACAGCCAGGCTGCTGCTATGTAAATTCCCCCACAGTGCTACTTGAGGGACATCTAAATGACAGCACTCCCAGACCTGGTGCCTGATATGTATGGCCTCGTTGCCATTATTCTGTTAATGTCAATATGTTTACCACCTGCTCACTCAGACCCAGCCACTTGGTGTGCTGGGGAGGGTTTGAAGGTGGGGACACTGTCAGGTTGCTTGGGTGCCACAGCTGTCTCAGGCTGCTGATGCTGGGCCCAGTCTGTTTTACCATGTTTTAAATATACAGTGGTGCCCCACAAGACGAATGCCTCGCAAGACGAAAAACTCACTAGACGAAAGGGTTTTGCGTTTTTTGAGTCGTTCCGCAAGACGAATTTCCCTATGGGCTTGCTTCGCAAGACGAAACGTCTTGCGAGTTCTTGCGAGTTTGTTTCCTTTTTCTTAAAGCCGCTAAGCCGTTAATAGCCGCTAATAGCCGCTAAGCCGCTAATAGCCGTGCTTCGCAAGACGAAAAAAACGCAAGACGAAGAGACTCGCGGAATGGATTAATTTCGTCTTGCGAGGCACCACTGTACTGTGGCCAGCTTGGGAAACCTCGGCCAGCAGGTAATATGGAAGTATTCCCAATAGATATATATATATATATTTGCGAAGTCCCTGCTCGCTCTCCCTTCCTTTTCATTATTTGGTCCTCATTTTACTGTTGTGTGCTGAGATTTACTGCTTTTCACTACAGTTTTAGGGGACAGCCTTAACCATGTCTACTCAGAGATTGCAGCCTCTACTACTTTTCCCAAACTATTAAATAATTCCATTCTTAAGAACTTTACTACAGGGTGGCGTCTTGTATAAACACTTGAAAGATTATTCTGGAATGTGCTAGCGGCGTGATGGGTTGGTAGAAGATGTAGTATTTCAAGTCCCGGCCTCTGAAGTGTCCAACTAGTGTGTGCTGCGGTGTCATTTTTTTGTGCATGCAGTCCTGTGGAAGGGGGTGGGGGAAGGAGTTTTGTATAAAGCTTTTCATTTTTCCAGGCCCAGGGGTTATTAAATGAAAGGTTACATTGCAGCTGGGCCCTTGGTATGAGTGCTAAACCTGTGTTTCTTACAGTTCAAACAAGCGGTGTACAAACAGACAATGAAGCTCTTTGCAGAACTCGAAATTAAAAGGAAAGAAAGAGAAGCAAAAGAAATGCATGAAAGGTAGGAGAAGCAGTGGGGTATTGTGTTTGGTTTTCTTGAAGCCCATGTAATTAGGAATCGTGGAGCATGTAGGCACCATCTGAAATCTGAGTTGTTGGGGTTTTCCAAAAGTAGCGTCAGGGGTACTTAGGGGGAGGGAAATGCTATTTTATTAAGCATTTTTATAACGCTTAACCCATGGGTGGGCAAACTAAGGCCCAGGGGCCAGCTCCGGCCCAATCGCCTTCTAAATCCGGCTCGCGGACAGTCCAGGAATCAATGTGTTTTTACATGAGTAGAATGTGTCCTTTTATTTAAAATGCATCTCTGGGTTATTTGTGGGGCATAGGAATTTGTTCATCCCCCCCCCCAAAAAAAATATAGTCCAGCCCCCCACAAGGTCTGAGAGACAGTGGCCCGGCCCCCTGCTGAAAAAGTTTGCTGATCCCTGGCTTAACCCAATGAGCAGCTTTACACATGCTCCCAGAGAGACAGCTATGTTAAATCTGTTGCAAGAAACATAACAAAGAGGCTTTTGACACCTTAAAAAGAACCCTAATACATCTTATTGTTGTGTAATAAGAATGTGTGGTCTAGAACCTACTTCATCAGATGCATGAACAGTTACCCTCAGTTAATTTTTTTCTTGTGTGTGTATATAAATATATATCACACACATACACCTACCTTTGTGTTTGAAATTGAAAAAATGGCCAAGAAATACAACACAATTCTACAGAAAGCTTAAACGTATACAAGACAGGCATGGTGACCATTTATGAACAGCTGTAAATAGGTGATAGCATAGCATGCTATAATGTGAGTGGTTCAGAAATCTTCCAAGATAAAATATGCCAAAACTAGGAAATAGTTTTGATTAGGATTCATTATAAAATAAATAATTCTATGCCTGTATGCATGAGCCCATACCACAATAAATCTCTTATTATTTAAGTTGCCACAAGATGTTTTGTTTAGCTTATGATGTATGTTACATTAAGGGATTGAATACTTGTCTTACGCAGCCCTCTGAGCTGTATTGTGGAGCAGGGATTTGAATTCACCTAATACATGACCAAAAGCAGTGCTCTGCCCACTTATACCACAAACTTAAGTTTTGTAGGAGAAAAAGTATTGCACTACATAAGTTATTTGCAAGGTGATGAGGTGGGTTGCAGTGTGTCTCATGTACTGGAAAAAGTAATAATCTAGGATGACTAGAAGAAAATACATAATTTAGGTATACTGTATGAGAAAAGAGCTCTTGCATTGTAATATCGAGATTGGAGCTCCAGGTGGCAGTCTTTGTTTTACAAGGCTTGCAGGCTGAGACATCAGTTAATGTGCTTTCTGCCCTTTTCTTTGCTCTGAAGCCAGGTTTATTTTTGTACTAAGTGCATCTCCTCTGGGCGGGTCCAAGTCCTGCATTTTATTTTGGGCCCCAGCACTCTGCACCCAAGGCCCTTTTCATTGCAGCAAGCGTTAAAATATGCCAGATTTCAACCCATTTTCAAAAGTGTCATCTTATAGCAGGAACAAGCTGTTCCAAAGGGCTTTATCCAAGACAGTGTGGGTGGCTTGCCATATAGAAGCCTAATGTAATATTTGCTAAATTTGTACCCTGTCCTCTGCCAAGAATTTGGTATGGGCAATACGCTGTTTCATTTTCAGAGGCACACACTTAAATTTAAAAGGTGGTGGTGAGGAGATACATGGATGGTCATAGCATAGAGATGTGGATATACTGAGGAATCTCTGGCTCTCCAGATGATGTTGGGCTCTTGACTTCCACCAGCCCCAGCCAGCATGGCCAATGGCAAGGGATGATGGGAGTCATATACACAAATAGGACTCCTTTCCCAGATTTCTCCCATCTGTTCTGTCTCCTGTATCCTTGTCGAGGGAAACATCCAGCTGATCTCCCTTAACTCATCCTGTCTCCTTGCTGAGCAACGCTGATCCTTAATCTAGTCCTGGTCCCCATTACTCACAGGGAATGCAATGCTAATTTTTCTCCCTGGCTCTTATTCTAGGAAGCGGCAACGAGAAGAAGAAATAGAGGCTCAAGAGAAAGCCAAGCGTGAGCGAGAGTGGCAGAAGAATTTTGAGGTAATTGTTATTTGCAGCTTTGGCTGTCCCATCAGCATTTTAGCAGTCTAATCTCAAAGCACACTTATTCTCTAGTAAGTCCCACTGATTTCAGTCAGGCTTGTGAGCAAATGTGCTTAGGATTGTGCTTCAAGGCTTGTGTTGAAAGGGTTATTATACATATGTGTGTATATATGTATGTATGTATGTACGCATGCCTACCTACATATACTGCCCTTTTTACCAAAGTGCACAGCTTTGTTCTGGATACTCCCAGCATTCCCTGCAGATTCAGATATTAATTCTAGAAGCAAAGGAACACCCACCAGGGTGCCTCAAAAACCGTATAGTTTAGTTTTTCTTTTGCATATGAAGCTGTCATGTCTGGCAGTGGCTTTCCAAACTCTTAGCCTGATGTCCCTTTCCCATCCCTGGTAGCTGAAATCCTGTTAACTTGAGATAGCATGTACTGAAACAAGAGCCTTTGACTCCAGAGCATGTGCTCTGCCACTGAGCTGTGGTTCCTCCCCATACATTCCCCCCGCTCGTTATATGGCTTTTCTGTTCTTCCCACAAGCCCTAGCTGTTGTTACTAAGACAGACTGCTACAAAATCTCTTCCACCAACTCGCCCTTTTAGTGCTTTGAAGCCCTTTCCCTGCTTCTGGCGACTTGCGCTCCTTGAAAGGCGTCTCAGGAAACGCTTCCCTTTTGATATAAACAGGAAAGGACACTCTGGCGTCATGGCACTTGCTTCTTGTTTACACTCTCATCTTCCTCATACGTAGGAAAGTCGGGATGGACGTGTGGACAGCTGGAGAAATTTCCAGGCAAATACAAAAGGGAAGAAAGAGAAGAAAAACAGAACCTTCTTGAGGCCCCCCAAGGTGAAGATGGAGCAGCGTGAATGAGCCTGGCTTTGTCAGACTCCAGCGGACAATCCCATTACCGTCACGTTGAACCCTTTCTTGCTTTTCCAGTAGGATCTTTGTTTTCAGTATGATTGAATCTTGGTCAAAGTATTTACTGTCTCCTGCCCATTTGCCCTGAGGTTCATGATGTGATGTCCAGGGCCAAGCCTACTGCACTTAGAACACTTGGCTAACTTAGGAAGACCCCCACCATAACTGCTGTTGCATTTCCTCATAGTCCCTGTAATTTAATGTTCTGTATTCCAAGGATGTTGCTGTTCAAATCGTCGTTAGGCCTAACTTGTGAGTGTCCAGCTAAGGCAGATGCTGGAGAATCTGATGCCTGGTGACTCCCTTGTTCACCTAGGCCGGTTGTCATGTTTCTGTCTGCATCAGTTTCCACTGTCAGTAGTGAAAATTGGAGCCTGCCATGGAGATGGATAGCTGGACTTTGCAAAAGTTCCCAACTCAGCTGCATGGAGCTGAACGTACGCCCCAGCTGTGACTTGCAGCTTGGCAACTCCTTTCTTCCAGGATTGCAGATGAGTTAACTGGCCAACTAGACTACCAGACCCTGCCCCTTGTAAATAAAAAGTCTTGCATTGAATATGCAGTTAGTGGCAATGTTCAGTATGTAAAATAAATTTTTACCCAAAACCTTTTGCTGTTGATGCTTAAGTCGCTCCGTAATGTGAGATTTGCCTGCTCTAATAACGTTTAATCTCATTTAAGAAACTGCGTTTGATTTGTTTAACTAGCATTGGTGGAAGGTTGCCTCTACTGCCCAACGTACCGAATGGCATACCAAACTGCTCCCCTAACTAGGAGTACAACGTGCTGCACTAGCAGTGCCTTGACAGTGCCTTTCAGGTATAACACAGCAAGTGCGGCCTCAACTCTGGTTTCTGAGGAAGTTTCACACACCAGACAGTTGGCTGCAGTTCCATCTCCGCCCCAGAACAACAATCGCACGCTAGAGGACATCTATAAATAGTTGTAGCACATAAGTAGATCTAACACATTTGGGGTTGTGGCTCAGCTGCTCACAAGCATACTAGAGTGCAGCTGTCCTGAGTGCATCCATTCAGCAAGCTTTTGTGATTTCTTAAGAAATAAATTCTAAGATTGTAGCATGCAAACCACTTCTTGTTATTGGGCTGTTAGTGAGGGGTTTTAGTCATCAGGTAATGCCCAACTAGCCGTTTACATGCTGTCAGCCATGCATATCAGTCTTCATGGTTGTATAGTCAAGCACTTTCATCAGAAATCTTTCCTCTTACTTCATGCCTGAGTGCAGGCATGAGTGTTGAACATGAATGTTGCTACAGGAAGTCCTCAGTGGGAACACCCTAAGGCATTTTAGGCCAGACTATACAAATGGGGCACATTTCCAAAGAAGGTATCCAGCAGGGTGCAGCTTTAGCAAGCCTCCAAGATCTAACATCACCTTCAGCTGACACTCCTATTCTGATTCTGGGATTCAGTCTTTCATATAAGCCAGACATGGCCAAATTGGGCCCTGCAGCTGTTTTTGGGACTACAACTCCCATCATCCCTAGCTAACAGGACCAGTGGTCAGGGATGATGGGAATTGTAGTCCCAAAGCATCTGGATGGTCAAGTTTGGCCATGCCTGATAAGCAAACATGCGAAGAAGCAGAGGTACACTTACAGTATGTGCCACCCCCCCTTCAGGGAGTCGGTCATCTGTACACAGCTTAGGTTCCTCTAGTTTAGCTCCCCCTATGAGGAAATATAAGAAAATTGGAGCTTTTTAGTTCAGAGAAGAGGAGACGTGGAACCATATAAATTGATGTGTGGCACGGAGAAAGTGGATAAAGAAAAGATTTTCTCCCTTTCTCATGACAGTAGAACTCGGGGAGAACAAATGAAGCTGAATGTTGGGAGATTAAGGACAGACAAAAGAAAGTTTGGCTTCACACAGCATGTGCTTGCAACTCTTGCTTTCCTTTGGACCACAACCTATCAGGGATGATAGGAATTATAGTTCAGAAACTTCTGCTTTAAAACTCATTATCCAGCTTCCTTGCTTTGTCCAGACAAATTAGCTGCTAGCATCCTTAATGCAGTAAGGAACGAAAGCAGACTTATCTCCGTTTAGGTTTGCTGAAGTGTTGTGTGTGAGATGGGGGAGGGGGCTTCTGTAACCCTCCCCCCCAATCCACAGTGCTGCTTTGATGCTACGTTAATGACATCTCATTGAGTTGTATGAGCAGCAACATTCTGACAAATCCCAGCTTTAAAAAGCAGCACACTTTTATGCACCGGCTTGCTACAAATGTCTTGGGAAACTCCCTAGAGCTTGAGCAACTGTGGTGATTTCAGAGCACGTGTGAGAGCTCTTGTTGCAACACCGCGAAAGCTGCCACCCTTCCCTCTCCTGCTGAACTTCTGCAATCCACACATTAGCACAAATGCCTGGAGAAGAAGCATCCATGTGAAACTAAGAAGGGCAGTTCCTCAACTCACATTTAAAGCACATGACTTTCCTCCAAAGGATGCTGGGAAATGGAGTTTCCTACTTAGAGAGCTACAATTTCCAGAACTGTTCACAAACTACAGTTCCTGTAATTCATTGGGGGAAGCCATGTGCTTCAAGTTTATGGTATGAATCTGCCTGAAGAAGCCTTAAGCACAAAAAGGCTCAAACAAGTACAATCTCCCTCATCATAATTGAGGAAGGGGTGGGACAGATCTCCATCTCAATATTGCGTTTTGCTTTTATTTCTGTGCTGCTCTTGTTCCAAGGAGTTCATAGTGGTGTGTTGCATCTGGGGGGCCCTCCACCCAAGTGGTTGGGCGTCTCTCTTTGTCAAATGCTCTCTGTGTCCAGTGGCCTTCTCTGTTTCAGTCTCCATCACTGTCCAGAAGAACGGCAAGGCAAGTGAAGGCTGCTGCCCATTCTCCCTAGCCACTTACTAGGGTGGCAACATTAACCCCGCCATGTGGGAATCCTTTGTCGATGACCACAGCGCCTGGAGACGAGACAGTCCGGGTGTGTATGCAGAGCAGTGACCAGAGAAGGAATGATCACTGGGAGGAGAAGAAAAACTGCGGTACATCTGCATCAGCACAACCAGATGTCTTCATCTGCTCTAGCTGCAACAAAACATGTCTCTCCCATATAGGTCCCAATGTCGGACTGGACAGAGGAGGAATGGTGGATACCGCCTCCCTCTCCTCCTGAATCTTCCAGAGAAGAGGAAGATGGTACTATAGATTTACAACAGTGGCTTGAGGAAGGTCACGGCTCAGAGGTAGATGACAAGCAAAGTTGGGAAGTAATGGGAAAGGAAGGGGGAGGAAGCAGAGCTGGCTGACATGTTATCACTAGGAAGCATTCCAGACCCCCCTTCTCCCAGAACCCAGCAAGCATTGAAAGTAGGATGGCAAAGGGCTCGTAGTCAAATGGCCCTAAGCGGCCACCATAAGGTGGGTGGTGCTGTTGACGGTTGAGGAGAGAAGTGGGGTGGAGTTTACTTGGAGCAATGCCATTACTCCAAGAGGCGGCATTTCTAAGCCTCTCTCTGTGAATATTTAATAAAAGACTTTGGTAAGAGCTTCTCTTGTCTTTCTATTCTCGGCTTCCTACCGGCGGGGAGTGTGTGGATCAGATTCCCTGATGCCTGACATCTACAGTCACAACCGGCTCTGTAACTTTCCAAAGGTTTGACTTCATCCTCAAAGGCACACTCTTCCATTGTCTCCCAAGACAGACGGATGCCAATCGCCAAATCACATCTCTTATTTGCTTAAATTTGCAGTTCCAAGCTGCAAGAGTGTTTAAACTGTGTGAGAGATTTTGGTCCAATGTGCATAAAAACACGCAGTGAATGTTATCAATGCCAAAAAAAATTAACGTGTGTGTAAATTTGAAGTCCCCTTTGAGCTTGAAGTGGGACGCGGGTGGCGCTGTGGGTTAAACCACAGAGCCTAGGACTTGCCGATCAGAAGGTCGGCAGTTCGAATCCCCACGACGGGGTGAGCGCCTGTTGCTCGGTCCCTGCTCCTGCCAACCTAGCAGTTTGAAAGCATGTCAAGTTCAAGTAGATAAATAGGTACCGCTCCGGCGGGAAGCTAAACAGTGTTTCCGTGCGCTGCTCTGGTTTACCAGAAGCGGCTTAGTCATGCTGGCCCCATGACCCAGAAGATGTACACCAGCTCCCTTGGCCAATAAAGCGAAATGAGCACCACAACCCCAGAGTCGGTCATGACTGGACCTAATGGTCAGGGGTCCCTTTACCTTTACTTTGAGCTTGAAGCCCCAGGCCAAATGGCCTTCCTGCCCTCCCCTTGTCCCATCCTACCCTGATAGTTCCTGGTTGGGGCTCTGCAGACCTGCAGCAAGATATTTGCTAGACCAAGGGTGAGGTCTAGCCTGTGGCCCTCTGGATATTTTTTGATGATTACTGCCATTATTCCTGAGCATTGGTCATGCAGATGTTCTTGGATGCCAACTCCCATCAGCCCAAAGTCAATGGTCAGGAATGATGGACACTGGAGTCCAGAATTATCTGGGGGAGGGGCTGCAGGTTCTCCATCTCCACCCTAAAGAAACAAGGAGTCATTTTATTCAAATAATCACAAAATGGTGCTTGTAATCCCTGGATTGTGAAGCTGTCAGATTGAGTTTACTGTTTAATATGCATAAACACAAGGGATAGTTCCTGCAAACAGAGGCATGGGGAATGTACACAGCTCTTTTGGTTGCAAAACAATAAAAAATAATGCCAAAAAGTGTGTGGGGGGGGAATGCATTAGATCTCCATACACAACCATCAAAACAGAATACTATCCCAGCACATTAAACTGATTTATCTCTCCAAATACTGACCTTTCAAGAATGCCTACCAACTGTTAGCATCAATAGCGAATGTTGCAGACCATTTGCACGCATTATCCAGCATTGCTTGGAAAAAGTACAATTTGACCAGAAAGTGTGGAAATCCTCCTGTTTATGTTGTCACTGTACAAGCATTTTTCACATTAACCGGAAGGGTGTGGACCAACAGCAATGTTTATGAAAATCCATCATTTAATTTAGATTAATCCCTGATTCATCAAACTGTGGTTACAGCAGTTGAGTATAAGGTATAAGAGCAAGGCTAGAATGTTAGACCAGGTCTGAGGAGACTTGATGTCATGGGCTCCTGGGGGCAAACTCTCCATACTTGAGGAATGAGGCCATAAGCACCAAGAAAGATGAAGAATGGAAGAGGGATTTGATCTCAGCGCAGACCCCAGGTGACCCCATTTACTGCAGCGCCCCTGAACCTGAGGGATGGTTGGATGCCATTCTGTCACTATGTCCCCACCTAAGATCACATTACCATCTTCAGATTTCAAGGACTTCATCAAAGAAACTGCAGCTGAGCCTTGATCCACTCACTGCTCCTTACGTCAACGCTATCTCAAGAGGATTGCACTGAGAGCTGATCTCTGCTGGCCCCCAGAACAGCAATATGTACCCACCACAGGAAGTGGAAGCCAAGAGCACTTGGATTGCCATGGTAGACTTCTACTTGGCACAAACTCTTTCAGGGATCAAAAAAATGCCACATTAAAAGAGGAAAAGGCACAGGACAGTGGTGGGATAGGGGAGACCATCAAGGGGATGCCTCTATATTAACGGTAAAC